TACTTGTTCTCTCTCCAATGTTGCATGGCTTTGGTAAAGGATACGTGTGGTAATATATTCTCCCCTTTTTCTAAAGCTCAACTTCTCCCCCTTAGTTTCTGTTCCTCTTGTTAGATTCATCTATGTTTGTGCAGCGTGATGTCACTATCCAGCGTCTATAGTGGCACAATCTGGCAGGATTCCCGTTTTGCCCTCAGGCCTGACCTTCTCAAGCCTTCTGTGTGCTCACTGTTTTCTCTGTAGTACAGAGGCAAAGAAAACATGTGGCCTCTCTCTCAAAACTGGAGCAACAGTCTTCATAAAATGCCCTTTTTAGTGATGATAAACTAAAATCCACAGTGCTCACTGCAGACATGCGAAGAATGTTGTTCCAATCTGGGTCAGTGCTTGCTTTAATATTTCAGAATTTGCTGTGAATACAGTAATGCCCTTTTCCTGCTCAGTTTTCTGACACCAGCTGAGAGACTGTCTTGCAGCCAAAACGGTTTGCTGTGAGTGGAAGTGACACAGGGACATTTACCTTCCTGGACATACCTGTGGTCTGTTTTAGCTCCAATGGAAGCCACACAATTTGACTTTCAAGAGTAGCTGCATCTGTGTGGTTCTGCAGAAGTCTTATATGCTCAGTACTCACAGAGAATATCTTCTTTCTCTCTGGGTTTATGCTAATGCCTTTTGCTTTTTAATAACACAGCTACATTTAAGGAATTTAAGAAAATCCCATCTACACATGACCAGGGCAGGAATAAGGGGGGAGCTAAATTCTTCTGCTAAATTGCTTGAAAATTACGTGCTGAACTCGAATCCTTCTCCTTCAGGCATATGGAAGTGGTGTGTGTGTGATGCTTAAAGACAGTGTATTTGAGAATATTGAATGACCCTACCCTTTCACATGTCTCAAAAATTGTAAATAGACACCATCTTGTATAAAAGCATTTAAAAGAACGGATGTACTTTGATCAAGACTTTTATGAAGGCCTCAGTTTTACTCAAGTATGCTTACTAATTTTACTCCTACAGGAAAAAAAAAGGATACGGAAGTAATGCTATTTTTAGAGGCTTGGAGAAAATTGGTTATTTTAGTTTTGTAATACATTTTTTGACAGGATTCTTCAGATAGCAAGACAACATCAAGATGTATGTCATCATGTAGATGTCTGTAGATTTAAGAGAACCTTTGCATTTTTATTTTGAGTTTTCTTCCTTAAAGTGATATGGAGTTGATACTATTTTGATGATGAGGAAAGGTAGTATAAAGATACCATATAGGGAGACTATTAATTCCTGTTGTAAAATGTCCTTCATAGTAATTCTTTGCCGTTAAGGTATATACATTTGAGCTTCCTTCATAGTTTTGTTTCCACATGATTTTAAATTAAGTAAAATAACACATGTACAATGACTAGCAATATACAAATGTTACATAAGCAGATATTCTTGGTTTACCTTGGCGTTCTGGTCTTTCCGAGCTTGTACTGTAAAAAGAGGAACTAGGATCAAAGCCCTATGTGTTATATATGCATGTACCTATGCAACAGGGCTCCTAGCGGTGGCATCAGCCAGTTGGAAAGAATTCCGACTGCTCCGAAGTATCGTCCTCTCATGGATACACCCCACAGAGTCTTGTCTTGGGTGTGCAGGGGGGCTGCTGCTGCCAGTGACAGCTTACGTCTTTACACCGAAAGGAGCGTTACAGGCAGTAGTGAGACCATGCACTGAAGTCAACCTAGTAAAGAAGAGACCCAGTGTTACGGGGATGTCGTATTTCATCTCTCTGATGGGCTATAACAGAGCTGACTGACTCATCTCTTCCTAGACGAGCGTCTGCTGCTCTGCCTAATTTCATGAGGCATGTGCAAAATACCTGCCAGCTTTTAGAGCCGGGCATCGCTAGGGCACAATGCAACAAATATTACAAGGACAAAGAGCATGGAAAGGATTTACAGCAAATATCTTGTGTGATTCAGGAGCTGAAAACTGAAGATGTTGTTGCATTATAGACAAGATCCTATATTTTTTTTCCTTTCTAACTAGAACAGTCCTAAGCTCAGTCTTGGTTTGATGAGTGCCAACCCCCACTCCCCCTCCTGGGAAACAAGTGAAATAGCTGCTCAGGTGCAAGTGATAAGGTGCCTTCAAAGTGCATCCCCTAAAACACAAAAATAGAAGAGCAGCAGTGAAATGCTAATTAAAACAGAAACTCGACTTCTCAGCCATCTTCAAAACTCTCTCTCACCCCTTCAACATTGTGGGAAAAATTCTGTGTGAACCTCTCTTAGCTCTCTGTCAAAGAGAAGTGGTTTTCAGTGTGTGGAAAAGTCACCGAATTTCAGCTCCTCAGGAGCAGGAGACAGGAGTGTTTCAGTGTCCTTGAACTTTCTGTGGGGACTCAGTCACTCCCTCGCTCCAGTGACAGGGTGTCGAATGTGAGGTCTCAGCAGAGCTCAACCATTGCTCGAGAGGTGTCAGGAGAGAAATGATCCCTGGCTCGTGCTATTTCAAAATATTTAGGAATGACTGCTGTCTAAAAGTAGCTACCGAGAAAGAGGAATTAATGTTTCAGCAACAGCTTCTCATATTTATTAAGAAAGCAGAAGATAAAAAGCCTATTTCAGAAATTCTAACAGAAAAAAAAATCTGTTGATTTTAGTGAGTTTTAAATTGAGGCCACCACTGTTTGGGGCACTTATTCTTGGAAGAATCCCATGAAATAACTTTGTGTGTTATTTCATTAGCTAATCACTTGGTTCTCAACATCTGGTTTCTGTCTTAACGACAGTTAAGTGCTGGCCAACAGAGTCCTAAAAACACAGGCTCCCTCTCCCCTGTGGGGGAGGCTTTGGGGTACGGGTTGTTAGTACTGACTAGGTGGCAAAGGATCCCACTTATCAATCACATCTAATGAACGTGGTTTTGTGCAGCTAGCTCAGGTTAGTCACCCAAAAGAAGTCCTTACAGTCTAATAGTACTGTGTTCCTTTATCTGTCAAGTTGATTTTCGTTTGCAGGTTAATTAACTTTTCTAACCCCATTTCAGTGTGATGGCAGGGCTGTAACCATTCAGAAGGCTTACAAAGAGAATCAGAAGACATTTCAGAGCCATAGGAACTAAATGTGTGATATGCACATGCTTTAACACCACAAAAGCACTGAAATTATCCAATTTTGTTCTCTGAATGTAGTGCAACATTTCGTTCTCTCTTTATCTTAATCAGAATTTGATGTGCATTCTTTCTTAAATGGCATCTGATGTGGTATCGCTCTTCAGCTCTCTGTGGTTTCCTGTTTTTCGTACACAGACGAAAGTATCTGCTGAGATCTATTAAACTTCAGCTTTTATTGTTTATGGCTTTCTCAGTATAAGCCTCAAAATAAAATTCAGGCTTCCGTACACTTAGAAATACAGTGAGTGCCTGATGCTTTCCTGGGGTAGAAGTGCAGGAGAAAGTCTTCACTCTTGCGCTGCCAGCTGATACTTGTTTAAATTTAGGTTAACTGTAGAATGCTTGTTAGGCAAGAACCAACTTAATATACTTCGGGTTTTTACACAGTGTTCTTCCCTAGCATGAAGTAATACATAGAAGAATGGAATATGGAATAAATTATTCTGGGTTTTGTTAAAAAATAAATAAAGGTCCAGTGTGAAGTACAAAAGATTGGAAGAAAATATTAATGAGTACCCAAGGCCAGTTTCATTTGTCTTTTCTTGGCATTTTAGCAGTCATAGAAAAAATACTACTGAGAATATGTGAGCTCTTGTTAAGTCTTGAAAATAGTTATATATTTATTAATTAAAATGCCTTTAGTACGTGATATAATCTACTTCCACTGGGAGTCAGAACCTTTGTCAGAGAAGGTGTTACGGCTTTGCAAAATTCAGATTTGATCTTAATGACATGAGAAAAAGGAACATGCTGCTGTTAGCCAAATTTTTATAGCTTTGAGACTGAAAAAATAGATGACTTTCAGGCGAGCAGCCTCATCTCAGATTCCACATGTAAGCAATTGCTTGGAAAAATAATTAGCCTGTTTATCTTGGCCAGTGCAAACAGAAACTGAATTTGACAGATTGCAACTTTTTGAGAGAGGAGGATAATATTAATCTTTCTTTCCAGACTTCCATCTCTTCCCACCTTCACTACTGCCTGAAAATACTCTCCATATTGCAAAATATCGCAAGATGAAGATCCGAGATTTGTCTTGTGATATTTATATAATTGTCACGAACTATTGACAGACCTTGGTCCAGTGGTCCTGGTATTCAGACGATTGTTATCGAAAGGTCTCTACTAGGTCTGTACTAGGCAGTCTCAACATGCCAGTCTAGCCTTAGTTTTAAAAACAAAATAAGTCACAGTGACTTATGTCAGTGACAGTATTTCAGTCTCTGCGGTGTTTTCTTCTGTTGTCTTCAAAGGAAGCTTGAATATTTATGTAATATATCTCACTTTCTTCCTCCAGGTTTAAAGAAAGATAATCTATTTCATTACCTTTAGATCATTTCAGAAAACTTGATTTTTTTTCTTTCTTTCTCTGGAAAAAGCAAATTAATGCTCAACTATTTTCTAAGTCTAGTTCTGCTGTTTAAATCAGATGCCAGACCTTAAATGCAGGGTCTATTAAATATAATATAATTGTAGTAAATTTTAATGAATTACGAAATTTGTTCCTTTCCTTCCTCACAGAACTATCGTGCCGTGGAAACTGTTCAGGCAGTGCCTTCATGAAGTTCATCAAATAAGCTCCGGTTTGGAAGCAATGGCCCTTAAGTCTACTATAGACTTGACCTGCAATGACTACATTTCAATTTTTGAGTTTGATATTTTCACTAGACTATTTCAGGTAAGATTTGAAACTTCAAAATGCACTTGACTCGTTTTTTCCCCTAAATGTAAGCATAACTACTGCTTTAAGGATTTTGCCATCAATTGCTCTGCTATTTATTTAAGGTAAGGAACTCTCTTTGGGAATAGCATTAATTTTATATTTGTTCATAGGAAATACTTAGCTGAAATAAAATTTTTTGTATGTTACATACCTCTTTTAGGCTTATCTCCCTTCTGTGGAGCATGCTTTGAGAGATACTCTTAGAGTATTCGAGTCAATATAGAAGGCTGCAGTGGTTTGTATCCATACTAAATATATTGATTGTGAATTAATCATGTCAGATTTTTTACTTGGTATATAGAAACCATTAGGGTACAGGAGCATTTATTTGGTCATTTACTTTTTCCCCTGTGTAGTGATCAATCGGTGCATTTTTCTTTAGCCTGTTAAAGACTTGTTCAAAATACCATGTGTTCATCAAAGCCTGGGCTTACAACCTTGTCCAGCCTTCCCTGCCGTGCTGGGGTGATCCCTGCCAGGCTTTGCTGCTTTTTGCCCTTACGGGAATGGGGCCATTGCGAAGCCAGTGTTAAGGACTGGCAGATGAGTAACAGTCTGAGCTCTCACAGTTTTCATTTTGATCATCTCTTGTCCATTCTGAGTCAAAATTTTATCAAAGTTGAACACGTTGCAGTGTAAATAATCTCCCTATGTTTGCTTTAACCACAAATGCTAGGCCCTCTTTGAAACAGTTTGTACTGGTTATAGAATTTCAGACGAAAACTTCAGTGATCTCCTGAGAAAAATAATGGAGAGTAAGATCACTGAGGACTTTCTGCTGTTTTAGTAAAATCCCTCCAAGCTTTATTGTGTGTGTGGAGCTTGATACTATCAGACATTCCCTTATGAATTTTGCTCCTTGGAATGAGTTTCTCTTCTACCGAAGTTTCCCTCCTTCTATTCAGTATTTGGCAAACAGCTCTGGGGTTCACATTGGTAGGGAAGCCAAAATCTTCCCCTCAGACTTGACCACAAAATATTTGAGACCTATTGATCAGAACATACATCATTATGAAATACATCTACTTAAAGCATCTTTGCATAGGATTGATTTTCTTCTTACATTGATCACAAAAAATAATCAAATTTTTCCTCCTTTTTTTAATCTGTACGTTAATGATGAAATGAGGAAGCAATGGTATGAGAAATGCAGCGTGGTCCCGTGGGCTCTTACAGATTGTACTAAACTTCAGACTGCAACACAGAAGTCTCTAAAGAAATTTATTTCTCCTGAATCCATAAAGCAACATACAGCAGGTTGCATGAGCTTCTCTGCCTGCTGGTTTGTCAGACTGTTGCTGGCTTGATTATTAACATGCTGGCTGTTAGAGAAGGGGGAACAGCAGTACTGCGTATAAGGAGAGAAGACAGGTTAGGGTTAGCTTTTAATTTAAGGAGAAAATATTTCAAAGAAGCAGATTTTTTTTGCCCATACAGATTACCAACTGGAGCAATAGCTGTGTAACTGTTGCTGTGAACTTAGGCTGAACTTGGGCTGACACTCTCTCCCCGAGGTTACATTTTACTTCTGCACTTTTTAAACCGCTTCCCTAGCTCTGTGCGCATACACCCACGAGAGAAAATCCCAATTGTTTAAGTAATCAAAATACTGTTTTGCCAACTGTGGGTCATGTTACAGAAGGGCTGCTCGGAGAGCTCTGCTTGTTCACAGAAGCAAGCGGCTGTTTCTGTAGCTGCTGTAGCAGCAGAGCCGCTCCCCTCCGCCTCTGTGCCGCCCCCACGGCCCCAGGCCCTTTCTTCGCACATCTAGGTGCACCTGAACACTGTGAAAAGCAAAAGACTGGGGCATTTTTGTGAAGAAAGCAGCAGTGTTGGTTGGGGAAGGAGGAGGGTTAACAGCCTCTTTTCTCTAACTAGGTCGGCTTAGGTTTTGCGTGTGCTTGAGCCTCCTGCCACCGAGCTGGGATGTTGCTTTGCTCCCGAGCTGACAGTGCAAGAGGCAGGGCTGCACCGGGCATTGCCGTGTTTTTCCCATTACTTTGCTTTGTACAAGTTTGAACTCTTCATTTTTCGGATTAAAAATTCATTGCTCAATTTTGTGTGTATATGAAGATTTCTTCCTTTTTGAAAAAAAGGAGTTCAGCAATGTTTACGTCGTGGTTAGGGTTTTCCTAGGAGATGGCCCTTAATCTTCAGTGGAAGTGTTGCAGTACTCCGCTCAAGAGGGTCGCTTGTAAGGATGTTTTATCTCTCTGCCTTACTAGCTTCTGCAAAGTCCACTTAAAGGACTTGTGCAGGATGCACAAGAACACAAGTCTCTCCTTTCCTGTTTAACTTTCCTTCTTTTGTCAAATACATTTAAAAAAACTCCAAACTATTAAAAAGCAGTTTCTTCTCTTTCTAGATGCTGGCAGTGAACACTTACTGTATTTGTATTCATTCCCCATTCCTTAAAAATCATCCTTCTTGGCAATAAAAGAATATTTTCTTTGAAGTAATGGCACGTCAGATGTATTTTGCTGAGTTTTCTGAAGCAATTGTGAACAAATAATGTGATGAAGTGCAGTCAGTATTTATTTTGTTGCCTGGCTGTGATGCTATTGTAGTAACTGAAGGAATTAAGAAGTAGAGAAATAAATAAAGGAATAATAGCCCAAATTAGCGGCTCTATTAGGCTTCATTTGTTAGTATTATTTATCATTCATTTTGTAATTGCCTCAGGACCAGTCAAGAATAAGTTTCTTTTTTTAAAAAAAAAAAATTGGATTTTAACTATCATGGAGCCATAGTCTGCAGGCTCTCACTAAACCACATGCTTAATATTCTATGTGGCTACAAAAAGAAGCTCCCTTAAACACTAGGTCTTCAAAATGTTTCTCCAAATACTTACCTTGACGTTCTTGGAATAATTCTTCTGGCAGAATCCTTGCAGCATAGCCGAGTATGTCAGTCAGTCTTCTATCGTATTTAGACCCTAACCAAAACCGTATGCGTTTCCGCTAAAGCGTTTTCAGTCTTTTTGACAAATCGGTGTTTTATTAGACATTTATAACTGTGCGGCTGCACCTGTTTAATTGTTTGTCCTTCCTTTTTAGCCTTGGGGTTCAATCTTACGGAACTGGAACTTTCTGGCTGTGACACATCCTGGATATATTGCATTCCTGACATACGAGGAAGTCAAAGCGAGGTTACAGAAATACAGCACCAAGCCTGGGAGGTAAGAGGGTCTGCTGATTATTGCCTTCCAAATAAACTTACTGTCTGAGACATTATATATTTTTTCTAGGTCCATACTTCCTGTGACACTGGTGCTGCAATACTGAAGGAGCAAATTTTTAGCTCTCTGTTTTTAACCGAGTGAATCACAGAGAAGTATTATTAGGCTTTGCTTTTTAAACTAGGGACTTTATTCAAAGTACCTTTTTTGAAAGATAGTATTTTGAAAGATAGGTGAGTACTAAAGCCCAAAACTCTCGATCCAAAATTGCCAAATTTTGAAATTTTCAGACTTAAGAATTTTGTAGTCCTGACCTACTTTTTCTTCTGTAGTTCTTCCTGTAGTGCTGTGAGTGTTGCATTAGACATGAAGAAAAGCCACAAAATGTCTAAATCAAGGACAAGTAAACAAAAAAGTGAACTTTTACTGCTTTTCCTCTCTTTTGAATTATGTACACCCTACAATGTCATGTTGGAAGGTTTATTTTGAAATATAACTTACTTTTCAAAATTTTTGTTTAATTGTTGTTTAATAGGTAAATAAAATTCATTCTAAACCTTTAGATGTCAAGACATGAATTATAATTTCAGTCAGTGCTGTAATGTCCCTTTTATGTCAGAAACATGCTTTACTTCATCAGTAATGATTTTACATTTTAAACTCTGCACTTAGAACGGAAACTGTCAGATAAAATATCTCGATGAGTAGATAGATTTTAAATAATTTGTGTGATGCTCTATCTATTGTATTATTTAAACTGAACTTTTCCCTTGCATGATGCTTCTGCTCTTCTGTTTTTCCTTCTTTACTCAGCTTGGGGAAATTAAAAAATTATTAGTGAATATAAGCATTTATTGGTTTGACTTTGAGTTTTTCTTTGTTCGTTGTTAGCTTGTTTCGCTTTCTAACTTTGTTGCTGGATCACATGTGCATGTATCTACAAACATATTTTTCTGAAACTTTTAGAAGTGTGGCAGTACAGTGAGAAAGGTGTATCCGTATTTTCTTCTTGGTTTCACTGATATTTAGGAAACCAAATACAGTGTGTATCCGGTTAGGTTAGCTGAGTGGTAAAGCGCATTTATACAAGAGTCTGGTTTCACTGCATTAATGCTGATATTGCACTGGCACTCATAAATGATGGTGTGGAATTCAGATAACTGGGATGATTTTGAAAATTCTTTCTATATTTAGTGTTTTCTCTATTATGAGCTTTGATTTTGTGTGTATAGAAGAAGTTTCTTTTAGATAAATTATTCAAAGTTGCCTTAATGTTCTTTTAGTAGAGTGTTAGCTTTAAGCCAGCTTTCCATTTGTGTATCAGAAGATAATTCTCTGAACTGGTTAGATAAAATACTGAACTTGTCATTGCTAAAGAGGAGATATGAAATGAAATTGCTCGTTTAACATGCAATGACTAGAATCTAGTTGCTACTACCATGTAGTGCTGGCCCTATTAAGCTCCTAAGAGACAAATCTTGGAGAGGCTAAATTTTCACATTCCCTAGTGCATGAAAGGTAATAAAGCATTCTAGTGCAGTTAAGAGGTACACGGGGTGATACTTCCCCATGGCATGCTTTCCTGGGTAGGGGTTTTGCATCTCAATTGGTGTTTGATACTGAAGACTCCAGAGTTTTTAGTAAGAAGAAATAAACCTGTCCGATGTCCTGTCTATAAGCTCATGCCTTCCTCTGCACTCTCCAGCTCTGCATTATTTATACTTCTGGCTACCACCTGCGCTACACAGAACGGTTCACATGAAAGGTCCATTTAGGCTGGTATATCATGAAGTGGAAGCATTGTGCCAGCTGTGGTGTGCACAAAATTACTGTTGCCAGCAAGAACAGTTTTTATTATTCATCAGCTTATTTCTGGTATGTCTAAAGATGTGTTCTAGTTCCCCACACATCCCCATTGGAGCTAAAAGCCTCTGGTTTGTGGTGTAGCTCCGGCTAGCTATGGAGATGATGTGCTCTGTTCCTGAAAAGGTGTACGGGCATCTCTAAATAAGTGTAATAGCACTATTTACTTTGAAAGTACAATTTTCTGAGGACTAAAAAGCAAGCGAATGAGAAGCTGGGGTAGCTAACTATTAGGCCCTTTATGCTTATGAGCAATGGCAGCATAAAAGACTCTGGTTCATTTAAGGCTGGCAAAACATGTGGCAGAGTTGGGGCTGTGGCCCAGATCTTGAGAGATGCGGTTCAGTGTCTGACCCAGAGGCCATCCTGCATCTCTGCGCTGGCTTTGCCAGGCTTTACCTGGCAGTAACTTTCTGTGGGTGCTGTCCTTGCACAGCTACATCTTCCGGCTGAGCTGCACGCGTCTCGGGCAGTGGGCCATCGGCTACGTGACGGGCGACGGGAACATCCTGCAGACCATCCCTCACAACAAGCCTCTCTTCCAAGCTTTGATTGATGGCAGCCGGGAAGGATTGTAAGTGTGCAAACCTGTCGTTACTCACGATGTTGGAAACAATTAGAAAAGTTGGATGGGGCTTTTGGCATTCCTTTAGAGATTAAGGACCATCCCTTTTATCCGTCTGGAAAAGAGGGTAATTCCATGAACTGGAGTTAGCCGTATGTCATAGCAAGTAGATTCCAGGAGAAAATAAGATGGGGCAGCTGTCAGTTTGATACTCCCAACAAGTGTCCCACATGCTTTTAAGCTTATTGAACAATTAGCACTACCAACTACTTATGGTTTACCTCCGGAAAATGATTTAAAAGGTATGTGATTGCTTTCTTATATGTTGTGCAAGCAGAAAGTTTTTCAGGTTTTAGTAATTTACTGGTTATTTGTACTTGTAAGAGAATCTCAAGTTTACCAGGAGAAGTGATGCTTTTTTAATAGGCCAGTTGAAGTAATAAGAAAAAATTAGGCGAATTTTTGGTGTCAGAACCTTTCACTGGGATACATGTTTTGATATATCACATGATTGTGAAGTGAAAAAAAAAAAATCCACCCCCAAAAGGATTTAAAACTTCCTTGTGAGCTGACAGTTCTTCTTGGTCCTTAATAGTCCAGTAATTTTATTTTCCGTAGGAGGATTTCATATTTTGAAAGTGATTTATTGTCCAGCAAAACAAAATCCAATTATGTGATCCTATGCATACTGATGTATATTTTTGTAGTGTTTCCACTATACAGTTTAACTGGCAAAGCTAAGTAATCAAAAACTACTGCTGAAAATATTTAACATGAAGCGAAGGGTTTTTTGTTTCACAATGACTTAACAATATCACTTGCAAGAAACTGTTCCTAAGTCTGAGGTGACATAAAACTGAATATAGAACAACGGAGTATCGCCATAATATCATTAACCTGTCATTAACTTCACACAAGATCCAAATGATCTCATCCATCCTTGCTTGAAGTCCAGACTGCACCTTGGACAGATGTAGGTTCTTGTCATAGTTTAAGTGCATATGTATGTTGCTGGCCATTCTGCTCCGCTCGTTGAAATACTCGGCTCTACACATCTGCTGAGTATCATGTAAGCAGTGCAGAGGTCACCAGGAACTTATGCAAGTATGAGACCTTACTGTAAAATTAAGATCTAAAATGATACTGTGTTGAACTATGCAATAAAAGCTACCTGCTAACAAAAGGTCAGATGTATTCTCCCGGTAACTGAGTGTGTGATGCCAGCTTTTTGCTTCGATAGGTGAGCTATGCTTTATCATGTGTCAGAGTACACATGCAGCCATTCACATCCAAAAGTTGAGAAAAAATATCTAAGGAAAGATGATGCACTTAATGTCTACTGTAGCTTACTCTGGCTGTTGGATTTTTTAAAAGTAATATTTAACTAAGAAAGCTAAAAAAAAATACACACATTTATAACAATCTTTTTGTGATGCAGCTATTTGTTCCCAGATGGACGAAGTTATAACCCTGATTTGACAGGGTTGTGTGAACCCACGCCACACGATCACATAAAAGTGACACAGGTATGTTGCAGATTGGCAGTTACTTTGTAATCTTCACCTCCCTTAGCATTTCATCCAGCAGTGAGAATAACTTTTATTAAACTCTGAGAAATAAAAGGAGTGAAAATACGCTTTTGTCAAAGAGACTTAGATGAAGCATAGGATAATAATCCTTTAAGCTTTAGAGCTAATGGTCACGCAGGTGGCGTGTCTTGGGAAGTTTGTTTATTCATGCCTCTTTCAAGTGCAAAGTGTGTTAATGGTGATTACAGTTTTTTAAAGTTTTTTAGATTTTTTGTCATGGGTTAATGGAGCTTGTTATTTCTTTGCTAAGAGCAGATGGGAATACAGAAATAAAATCAAGATCACGTCATAGTTTTTAATTCAAAACAGGAAAGGTACTGTTTGTTGACAGGTCCAAGAAGAAAAGCATAGTCCTCTCTATCACAAAGATGTTGCTTCCAGGGTGTCTCTCCTTTCTTCCATGTTTATTGTGAAAATTAAAAGAGAATTTGGGGAAAAGCAACGGAAATGAAGTGTGTGAAGGGACTGACTTTCAAGAGAAGATAGACTAGCTAGATATGCGTATATTCTTGTTAAGTGATGATGGGATATACTAATCTGCAGATGTTTGATATTAGAGGAATAGGAAGTAACCACCACAAGGCAAAGATTTGATTAAAAAACATTACTGAAATCAGCACCAGAAGGCTTTATGTATATTATGTATTTTATGTATATGTTACGGAGTGTTTTCTGTAACAAAAGTACCTGGAAGAGGGTGTGCTGAAGGCAAGACTGCACACTAGGCAGGGCTCTGTAAAGTCATAGCTTCTTTGGGCTGCATCTGGTGAGCTGCTGAATCCTTTATCACTATGTGTGCTAGATGCACTTTCCATCTCCAGAGATGCTTTAGAAAGTATCTATGGTATTACTTACTATCTATAGTATTTGAGGGAGTACTATTATGAAAATGTCTGCCTCTTCAGTGAATTCCTTTCCCACCTTCCTGTGGAAGGTGTGAAAACTTCCAGCAGTCTGATATCCTTCTTTTCCCTCTTTATAATAATGAATGAGCAATACAGATGTAACAGATACTTGAGTTGCAGAAGAAAATGGTCTAAGCCCATACCCTCACTCCTCCTCAGAGGAAGAAAACAAAGCTTAGACCTTTTCAAAGTTTTCTTGTTTTTCCACAAGGTAGACTGTTCTTTTTTTTCAAAGTCACTGAACATAGCTATCTTGTTTTCTGAACATGTATTTGTGAGTGAAATCTTAGTTAATATTCATATATTAATACATCTATCAATATTCATAGTATGAATACCAGTTCATTGAAGCCTGAGCTATATGTATGTCTTAAATAATACCTAGCTGCAGTAGTTTAAAGCTGTCCCTGGAGCAGCCTTAACCTATGAAAAGATGGTACAAAACTGGCTGCAGGGCTGGACTGCTGCAGGATGCTTTACGAGAGCTCCACCACAAGCATATTTAGTGCATACTGACCGCAGCTGCAGGTACAAGTTCTTTCATCTTGCTTTTCTTAGCCTCCTCCACCCTCTCTTTACTCAACAGTAGTTGCTTATTTTCCTGTGACCTGGATGGTTCTTTAAGCTTTCAAAATTTGCTTTTCCTAGAGTGAAAAAGGGAGAATAAAAAAGCTCTTATTCCTGCACAAATGCTTTTGTTTGCCAGTCCCCAACCAATACCTTTCCTAACTCTAGAAAACTGTTCTCAGCATGACTTTTACCTGTGTTCCTCCTGACAAAGGTTTTCTGGTACCCTAGTGTCAGTCTCCTAAGGCCGCAAAGCCCTGGATGACCTATGGATGACTGTTGCCCAGGCTGCATTCCTGTCATGCCCCTTCCCGGGGCTTGTTCACTAAGCTGTGTCCGGGCTGCAAATGGAAGCCCTGTTGCTTGTCGGATTTCAATCGAGTGGCTGTCATGAGCCCTCAGCGTACACCTAGAAAATGAAACCTCCGTTTTGTTCCTGTCCATCACGTAACGGGTCCCTTGCAACAAGACTTTCATTATTTTTCTCTTAATTGCAGCCGATGAAAACGGGATGCATGCCTTGCATCAAAATAGTAGCTAGATGAGATATGACTTCCTGTAATAAATGGATGTTGAAAAAGTCAGGTCATTTTTTTTTTCTGAAATGCTGATTGGCTTTTTGGGGGCTGAAATAACAGTGATACTTAATATAAAAGCAAAACCTAAAAAGCAAAGCAGTAGTGCAGTCCATTGCTTCTTAATGCAAGTCATCTTGCCAACAATATTTATAATTAGATTCCATCCACACTTACACAGACACACATACGCTAGATTTTCTCAAGTAGTTAATGTAAAAAATTAAAAAATGCCAATAGTAGTTGGGAAGAGGCAGGGGAGATGAAAGCAAAAATAATTGTTCCTCTTAACTCTTAAGAGTAAGTTAGAACATTCAGGTCAGTTGAATACATAGTAATTCAAATTCTTTTGAAAAGTCTGTAGAAATCCAAACAGGCACAAGTTTATTAAATTTATCTGTACTGTTTATGATGCCATTTATCTTAAGCTTGAAGAAGCAAAAGAGTAGGATTTTTCAGAAACTGAAGTATGGCTTTTAAATAAATCTATACCAATGATTTCCTCTATTCTTAAGTAAACAGCTTAGAAAATGGACTCAGAATTTCCTTTGTCACTGGTAGTATTTAAGTATATGCTTTATTGACTAATCACAGTAAAGGAATAATAATTTCACATTCTTTTGTTACAGGAGCAGTATGAATTGTACTGTGAAATGGGTTCTACTTTCCAGCTGTGTAAAATCTGTGCAGAAAATGATAAAGATGTGAAGATTGAGCCTTGTGGGCACCTCATGTGCACTTCTTGTCTTACAGCATGGCAGGTACAGTCATAGTCCGGTAGTGGGGAACAGGAGAGTTTTCTCTCTGATACATCTCTCTCTGCTGTGTGGGTTTTCCATTCACCTTTTCAGGTACTCGGTAAGGATATTCATGGACATGTCTATGAAAAATGGTAAGCTTTTTTCATTTCGTGGACTAAAATCCGTCTGTGAAGAATGAAGTCCTAGGAAACCTGAGAATTTGGCCTGTAGGCTTGCCAAGGACATTTGCTGCTTATTGGAAACCTTTTCGCCAGTACGGGATCTACAGGGGAGGTGAAAGCTGGGCCTCGCTTGCCTCTTCAGTCACCCAGGTCACTTCATGGTGTGTTCAAAAGCAATGAGAGGACAGGTAGCAGCTGGGAATTGGATAACCGACTAAACAAGGTTCCGTAAGGGGACAGGATATTTTTGACAGGAGAAGGATTTAGTCAGTCGAGCATTTCATACCTTGCCCTTTGCAAAACGAGCTCAGAATCTGCCTGTGCTTTTTGCTGACAACATGCAAGTCACGAAGCCTCACCACCCAGCTTTTGACAGTTGTGGGGATCAGAGAGATGAATGGAGAGGAAAACCAATCTCAGTGTCATTTACAGAATACTCCAGAAAGCACAGGTGCTTCCTGGTGATGCCCCAGTTGGACCATTTTGTCCATTTTGTTCATGGACTTAACCAGTCTGTGACAAGAGGACTGATGCCTTTAAGTATAGTTAACAAACATTTTAAACTGAAATCAAAAGCAAAGGTTATTCCTCATAACAGCTTCATGCTTTTCCCTAACAGATGCTTTCCAAATCAAATCTTTTTCAGCACTTGTGCTTTTAGCAAATACTTTCAGTGTTATTCAGCCTCCTTCCACCACCCGTCCTTCAGCGCCAAGGATGTGCTCTCTTTTGGAGATCCAACAAGCTCCCGTTTCAGTCTTCTAGCCCAGGGACTTTCTGCAGAGGACCAAGCCTTTTAGGCTCAGAGAGTTGGCATTTTGCAGTGGCATCCAGCTTTGTCAGAAAATACTGTCCAGCGATAATCAGCCAGCTACTTTTTGGACTTACTGCGAATTTAACTTTTGTATAATTAGTGAGGCAATGAAGAAATACCCTGTAACAGCATCGGCTGTTACAAGCTTCTGAAGGGCTAGTGCTTAATTGCTCTCATAACGGCTTCATTAGACATGCCTCCAGAGGTCCAATACAGATGTTTTCACTAAGCAGAAAAAAAGTTAGCTAATAAATTGAGTATGCAACACCAGATCTGCACAGAATTTTAAGCGTGATTCAGAGTTGTTCACCCTTATGAAGGTCAGTCTCTCAAATATACCTTGATTAAACTATCTTTTTGTAAGTAAGTAAGCAACCTTGTGTAAGTAAGTTTTGTAAGTAAGCAACTTTAGTAAGTATGCAAGGGGAGGAGAATTTCGTTTTTTTCCACTGAAATCCTTTCTTCTCTTAAAGCTTAAGTTCTGAGCTTTATTATGAAAGCCTGTGGGCTGATAGGCTGCATTGTCAGGCTCATGATAGCTCATTTCTCAATGTTTTAAATAACCTTTCTGTGGGCACAAACAAGTATGTATAAAAATTAATAAACATCTGAGGTCTCTCTCTCTTTTTTTTTTTTTTCTCAATTGTGTTTATACAACTGCATGCAAGTTTTGGCTGTTGTGATTGGGTAGTGTGTTTCAGTGAACAGAACTAGTACAAAATTATCTGACAACACAGGTTTAAGAAAGCCTTGGAAATGGCAAGCGCTCTGCTAGGCCCTTCCATCAACTCCCTTTCTATAAAATAGCCACGTGAAGAATTTTATATAAGGAATGACTCCTGTTCACTTTAAGGTGATTACTTCAGTAGGACCCTGAAGTTTGGAGGCACTCCTCAGACTATCAACAATATGGTCTTTTGTAATTAACATGCAGGACTGGTAAAAGCAGGTTAGTTATTCGTCTGCCCAGTGGCATGCTGTAGCATTTATACTGCACAAACGCCGGTGATCCGTTTTAAATCTGTTTCCTATAGAATCATAGAATGGTTAAGGTTGGAAGGGACCTCTAGAGATCATCTAGTCCAACCCCCCCTGCATACGCCACGTAGCACAGGGCACAGGGCTGCGTCCAAGCGGGTTTTGAAGATCTCCAGAGAAGGAGGCTCCACAACCTCTCTGGGCAGCCTGTTCCAGTGCTCTGTCACCCTCACTGTCAAGAAATGTTTCCTTAAGTTCCTGTGGAACTTTTGATGCTTTAATTCCTGGCTATTTCTCCTAGTTCTATCAGTGGCCACCGCTGAGAAGAGGCCAGCACCATCCTCCTCACTGCCTCCTTTGAGGTACTTTATAGACACTGATCAGGTCCCCTCTCAGCCTTCTCTTCTCCAGGCTGAACAGGCCCAGCTCCCTCAGCCTCTCCTCATAGGGCAGATGTTCCAGGCCCCTGATCATCCTTGTAGCCCTGCACTGGACTCTCTCCAGCAGCTCCACATCCCTCTTGTACTGGGGGACCGAGAACTGGACGCAGTACTCCAGTGAGTACAGTGTTTCCTTTGCAAGCTGCTAGAGGTCACGTAGAGGACATTTTGGTGTAGAAGTGTGTAAGACTTCATCTTCCAGTACTTTTTAAGTGCTACTTTTAAGAATGCATGTACTTCTTTGTTTTGCTCAGGAATCTGATGGCCAAGGCTGTCCTTTCTGCCGCTGTGAAATCAAAGGAACGGAACCAATTATTGTGGATCCGTTTGATCCAAGGGATGAAAACTCCAGGTGCTGCAGTATTATTGATAGCTTTAGTATGCCCATGTTGGACTTGGATGAGGATGATGACAGAGAAGAATCTTTAATGATGAATCGCTTGGCTTCTGTCCGAAAGGTAAGTTTGCACATACTACACAATGAGTAAAGCTGCATATGTAAATGTAAATTACTCTGTCTGTACGTGTAAAGAGTGAGAGGTCACATCTGATGCTGTAGGTTTCAGCAGCTCATTGAGGAGTTCTCAAGTTGGAAAAATATATCAATACTGGAACAAGAAGACTGAAGTTGAATGGGAAAAAAGAGAGTCCCAAATTCCCAGCTGATCTATTTGAGTTAATTGCTGTGCTGGAAGAAGCATTGGTTTGCACCAGCTGATAACTTTCATCCAGAATAGTAGATACTGTTTGGAAAATTCCTTGAGTGGTCGTTTGTAAGAAAAACAAAATTTCATAAATACAGAACATATGGGTACACATGCTTTAGAATTAAACATGTGTTTCTAAATAGGCAATATAGATTATTACTATGTAAAGAGTGGCCCTGAACCCGGTTCCTACATATTGCACACATACATGTTTAATCATGCTTTACGTGAGTTGGCTGTGGTTTTTATTTCTGTAAATTAAAATGCTATGTTTTAATACTAGGCATCTGTAAAGGGGGAGAGAAAGGTATCTGAAATTATTCACAGTAACTTTGTCTTTTGCAGTGTTTCAAATGTTCTTAAAATGCCCTGTGTTTATTTCTGGAATCCTTTTTTAGTTGGTCGTAAGAGATGTTGTCACTTACAAATAAGCACAAACATTAACAAAGTTTTGTCTCATACTATACTTCTAAGATTTCATTACTATTTTATTACTGCCAGAATAGATACTGTTATGGGCCACGCAGTACCAAATTTGAAATGCATTTTCAATATTCTGCCTTTTACTAAGGTCGTCTAGATAGAATAGTTGTCTTGAAATTCATTTCTTAATGTCTCACTCTTCCATTTCCTTAGCATTGTCATTTGTTTAATTAAAAAAAAAAGTGTTTGTGTCTTATCTGAGAATATCTGTCAGTTAATATACATACTTCTGATATCCTTCCTAACCTCTTAAGTTATATGAATCATTATTATACTGTGTATATAATACCGCACGGCCTGCTCTTGGGAACAGTTTATCCTTCCTGTCTGGATTTAAATCGCAGCCTGACCTCCGTGATATAGTCTTGAATTGATGGGCTTTTATAACGCTATCATTTCCGTGATAAGACAGGGTGCGTTATGCTTTTAACGAAAGAAGGCACAGTGGGCTCTAGTGTAAGAAGAAGTTGTCTTCAGCATCCACCAACTGCTCGAGTACTTTGGTTCTTGCTGTTTTTACAGCATTAATTTCATTTCATAGTTCAGTGAAAGACATCTGCTCATGACTTCATTCTGAAGTTTGTCTTTTTTTTTCTCTCTCTTTTAATTCTTTATTTGCAGTTGTTGAACTATCAAGTCATTTGGTGATTTTCAGCTTTCCCTTGCCTTCTTGCAGCTGTTAGCAGTGCTGGTAGAATAACACTCTTGACCATGCCATTCTTGTGGAATATGTCACAATTTACAAGCACCTTTGTTAGCAATGTCTTATTCAGACTTGCCTGTTTCTTTTACTGTTATTTATTTGTTCCTGATAAACACTATTTCTTTAGAGCTTGCTATAAAAAGCACTTTTTATTCCATGTGACATTACATAGCATGTTTCCCTCTTTAAAAGTTTTTTCTCTTGGTAAGATATTAATATGAATACTGCATAATGGATGTGTTTTATGGGCATTTTTTGAAACACTGGTGATGACCGATAGGATCAGGTAGTTCTTGCTAGTTTTTAGTTGTTGCAAAGATTTTCGTATACTTTCTCAAAATGAATCTCTTTGTCCTTGAAAACTGAGTGAACTGATTCTATCTCAAATCATCTGGCTAGACCATGTGATAGCACTGAGAAAATTTGCTTGTGGCATATCTGGCTAGCGGTGGTTTGGGATTTAGACTTACCGGATGAAGAAGACTCCGGGGCTGTGAAACTTCTTGATGCCGATAGGGTTCAAGCTCTGTCGCAGGAATATTTGAATGCGTCGCTATTGTGCTGAAAGGCTCATGGAGGAGCTCTAAGCTGTTGCTACCAAGTTTCACTGCCTTTGAGACTTACGCTTGAAATACATTCATAATGCAAAGAATAGTTGCACTAAGCTCATTTTATTCTGCCTTATGAAGCACAGATAGGCATGTTTCTCACTGATTAAAGGGCCTGCGTGGGTTTCTAAGTGAGCTCTTTTTGACAAATGGGAAAGCTGAAAAACACTTTTTGAGTTGTCATTAGCGTTTAAAGAAGCTATAACTTTTTGTTATCCCCTGCTGTACCTGTATGAATTATCTTTTATGCAGACTGGAAAGATAAACCTCCTGTTTATTTCCTGAAATCCAATTGCAAGACGCCATTTAGGGAGCAAAGAGCCTAATTTCTTTGGCGGGTAAAGGAATATGAGTTGAATATAAAAATACCGTTCTCCATTTTCTACTCCATCTCTGAAGCGTACTCATGAGCAGGCAGAGGTGTCTAGATTAAATCCCGGATGGACCTCAGACTGGAAATTGCTTTCAAGAACAGAATAATCACAAAGCTACTTACTCATTCTTTAATGGAATGAGTAAATGGATCCACTTTAAGGAAAATGAATCATTCTTGCAGATCAGATGATCAGCTGTAACAGAGGCTTCAGAGAAATCTATTGCAATTAGTGTATCTGCCTTATCCAGCAACTTTTTATTTCAAATTGTCTTCAGATATTTCTTTCATTCAAAGATGAGGAGCGGTGCCAAAACCTCATTGACTTATTGCTAAGAAATTTCTAACCACTTGGTATTAGATCAGCTAATGCAGTTATTGCTTGAAGTTTTATTTTTCTCAGCTCTGTATTTTTTGGCCTAACCAGGCTTTGCAAACCTCATGTGGGTCATAAAATACTCCTTAAAAATATGCAGATTATAGATTAAGGTAAACATTAAAAATGGAGCTTTTTTAATTTTTCTTTTTAATAGAAGGCATTTGAGTCCAGTAGACCATTTGTATTACTGCTTAGTCTTAAATGTTCCATTGTCTGAGTGAATTAAGCGCAGTCTATCCCTCTATGTTAAGCAAGATCTAGCCTGATACAGTTGGCTTAAAAAGAAGGAAAGAAAACTATATAGTGCAGGAGTTCTCTTCAAGAGCTATATATATATGTATATATATAGGTGCTAAGACAACTGTATAATCCAAATGAAACATTATTATTACATCAAACCATAAAGGGAAGCCCTAACAGTGTAAGGACACCATGAAATTTTCAGTGAAGTATGTTCACATTCTCTAGGGACACTTCTTTCTGAAACCATATGAAAAGTTACTTTTTCCATGGAGTTACTGACCTCTCTGAAAGGAATTTCACAGTTGTTGAAGCCCACCAAAAACTGACTTTGATTCACGCTGTTGGCTTCAAAATATTTAGACTAGGTCAGCAAAACTGAAAGCTACTACTTCTCCTGACTTCGCTCTTTCCAAAGGATGAGTTAGTATGGACTTAACAAATCAAGACAAAAGACTTTTAGTTCTCAAAATAGGGAAGGAGAGTGGGTATGTTTTGTTTTGTTTTACCCATTTCCCACCCTTCCCCTTTTCAAATCTTTTTTTTTTGTGGTAATGGTTGTTTACATAGTAATAGAGTTTCAACTCAGTAGAGTTTCAACTTTTGTCATACAAAATACAGAAGCTTCTGAAAAAAAAGGCTTCAAATATTTATCCAGGCATTTTCCCTGACCATGAATTCTTAGGCTACGTCACTTAGGAGTTTATTAAAATCATGCTGCATGACTTGAGGGTCCTCACGTACTTAGTTTATGGTGCTTGAAGAAGAGGTGTAAATGCTGGGAAACAGCGTGCCCCGCTTGGTTCAAAAGCACCCGACCGGCCCCACGGGCAGTCGGCCTCGTGCCGGCTCTCGCAGCCTTAGGTCGGTTCCGTTCCCCTGCTTCACGTGTGTTGTGTTGGTTCAACAAATGAAAGATTGAATGAAAAAAGGGAAACAACGTAGGCAAAGCATGTTTGCGGCCATCAGTGGTAAGCGGTGTTGCTTTATATCCTCATCCATGTTTTTTAAGTCCACCTGGTACTAATCTGCCAAGGTCACAACTTGCCTTCACAAGAAGGAAAGAAAATGCGAGTTACTCTTATCCAACTATAGCTAAGGCTTATTTAATGAAGCTTCAGGGCACAGTATGAAAAGTTCTCTTTTGGTGTCAGTCTGCCTGGACCTTCTCAGAGGTCTCGTTTTGCAGTCTGTAGATGGTTGTATTAGCTCCAGCAGCACTCCAGCAACCAAGATAACACTGCTGCAGCAGTCACTCTTTGAGGTTTTCGTTTAGCGTGTTTTTAGTATTTGCCTGTCCAGCAAAAAGGGATTTGAAACTAAAACAGTGGATTTGGTAAGCTGACTGTTAACACTTACATCATACGAAGCTTCACTAGAAGCTGTAATCCGTGTCAGAAGCAGCCTTACTTTTAAAGTCACTGCCACTAGGGGCAATCCGATACCATTATTTGCTGGTAGTAAGCATATATGATTAAATAACATAACTGTGGTCCGCTCTGCAGTACAATAGCAAAATAGGTCACAGCTGGGCAGCATTTATGCCAGCCAGATGATGTCCATGCTGCTCCTCTCTTCTTCTCCTTCATTATATCGTTGTTGCACAGGGTGGGTCACCGCAGAGCTCCTCTATCTACAGAAGGTCTCTCCTCTGTCACTACAGGCTCACTTGTATTAGCTTGTGTCTTAATTGCCTGCTTGCTTTATCTTTTTGTTACTATTTCTTTTTACTATGATACTCTCATTGCTCCTTCATTGAATAGAAAGTACAGAGAAATCTTCAATAGGTGACAAACAGGATAATCTATAAGTCACTTAGACCTGAGGGAAAGTGCCTTTTTGAGAGATGATACTTCATGCCAAAAGAGGAGCAGTTATATACAAATCTATTGCTGCATCTGCATGAAGTATAGCCATCTTGCAGGTAGCTCTCAACAAACATGAAGCAATAATGTAGCTAAACAGGATGGGAAAAGGACATGTACGTTTTGAAAGCATTTATAATTTTTTTTTTATCTATAGAAATGCGATATTGAATGCTGAAGAAAGCGCATTTGCTACGGCAGAGTTTTTTTGTTTCAATTTAGTATTAGTAGGAATAAATGAGGGTTCACAATTTAAGATTCTCCCAGCAAAGCATTCATTCTCCAGGACCAAGCAGTGACATGGATTCAGTTTCCTTCTAGGAGACAACTGCTTTTCTCATCAGCAGTTGGTCTTTGTGTATTCTCTGTGTGTGTGTGCGTTTTTGTGTTTGTTTTCTCTTACTCAGAAGTTACTGTTTAGCCCTTTGACTGCCCCCAGTACCCTTCCTGACGTCTTTGGGGACTCCAGCACATAGTGAGAGCATTGTGGCAGTAGGAAAGGGTAGCTTTAGGGAGACCGAAAGATTTTGCAGTGCTGAAACAAGAAACTGCTGTCAGGTTAGATTGAGATCCTTCTATACTGTTAATGCTTTGGAAGGCTTTCCATTTTCTTTTGGCAGTTGTGACTTCCTATCCAGGGAATATAGTTGCTAGAAATAACTAAATACCAAATACACATGGAACTGAGAGTTTATTGTGGAAGTTAAATTAATTTCCTGTTTCAACAGGGCCTCATTGAAGAAAGAGTGGATCATTTTGCTTAGTGATTCTATAGGGCAGAACTGTGTAAGAGAAGGTGGTACCCCCGGATAAATAGATAAAAACGGTGAATGTTCTGAAAATGCTGTTGGTGAAGTGCTGCTGCGAGTAGCTGGGAGCTCCCGTAGCTACGTGGGGTCTGACGTTCTCGGGTTGCTCCTTCAGGAAGTCCGTTAACGTGGTGGGACAGCAACTAGAACTTGTAAAAGCTTCAGCCCTCCTTCCCACCTAGTGCTCTGCATTTACTGCTTCTATTATTCTTAGCGTCCATCCTCCATTGTATATAGGATTATTTCTTAGATGTTTTGGAACAATTCATTGCTGCCTGAGACACCGCACAATATGTAACACCATATAATTTAAAGACTTACTACAGCACTGTCTTTTATTTTTAAATATATTTTACTGGAGATGCAGACCTGTTTATTTGGTTCTATTTTAAGAGGTTTGGGAAATAAATTTATTTCCTCTCTAATGCTGAAGGCAAGGTTTTGACTATATTACATGTCTCCTATTAGAAATGCTTGGTGAGGGTATAACTGAACTCTGAAAACTAATGTTATAAAGTGATACAATATTTATTATGTCATTCAATAGTGGATTCTTTCTGTTGAGTAAAAGGAATTGATAGTCATTATATTTGGTTGCTCAGGCATGCTTCTAAGATATTTAGTATGTATCTATTTATATTATAACATATTCTATGATAATATATAGTTATATATGGATATCTGTGTATTAGGTGTATTATTATATTTATTTTATTATTTCAATTTATTTTATTCTAATTTAACTTATTCAATCGGTTCCTTTTCTGTGATATCCAGAGAATATGAGCATAATCATTCCTGTGTTTATCCTCCCAATCCTCCAGGCAGCTCCATTTCACCAGTTAGAGGGTACCAAAATTAACAGCTTAATACAAACGTTGTGACCACTTCTGCATTGCAAAGAAAATTGAATTGAATGTGTAGCTGTGAGACTGAATTTACAGGTTTATTAGATGGTAAAACTTGAAGTGACACAAAACATGTCACCCAAAAAAAAGATTTATCCTAGAGATCGGAGCATTAATTTTTGTCAGTGTTTTAAAATGCTTGATTTAGAGTGATGGCAAATAGTCCTCTCTAACCAGGTTTAATGGGAGGTTTTGGAAAGCCTCCATGCCTGGATGGCCCGAGGCTGGGGTGTTCGGTGTGAACGGCTTCCAGCTGTTCAGGCTGTGAGCCAGGAGAGCCCAGGAGAGCATAAATGCCCAGAACGACCTGCAGTGCAGTGATATAAACATAGTGGGTTCACTGAGTATTTAAATAAGTTGGTCGTGTTTGTTGAAACTGAACCACACAAGGCTTAGGACCTGGTAGCAAAAATGAGTGCTGCCTACACTGATGACTGAAATCTTCGATTCTGATCATCATACAACATAAGTTCTTATTTTTAAAGAGTCAACATACTCTTTTAGATGAGATCTAGTTAATTTTCATCATACCTGTGCATTTGAAAGGACAAGCCCAGAAAATAAGTCATCCTTTGTCATTTGAAATGTTTAGTATGTTTGTGTGTCATTAGTTTAATATTTGCTAAAATGGTAAACTGAATGCTGTTGTGAAATATTTTTTTTTGTAAATTACCTAATGAATGAAGGGGAAAATAAATGAGGGGGATCTTAGTTAATTATGAGATAGAATGACTTACAGACTTCTTTTGTGCTGTACCTAGAGGCTGAATGCTTACACTACCCAGTAATGAAGACTAGCAGGGTGTCCATTATCATAAGTGACTCTGAGCAAAAACCTGACAAGTACCAAATGTTTTAGTTATTGTGGAATGAAAGCTGCTTACTTCATGATCAGGTAAATTCTAATAATGCTTTTTCTGTCTTGAAGTGCAATGAGAGACAGAATTCACCAGTGACATCTCCTGGATCTTCCCCACTTGCACAAAGAAGAAAACCACTTCCAGACCCCCTGCAAATCCCACATCTTGGTCTTCCACCTGTACCTCCTCGTCTGGATCTTATTCAGAAGGGAGTAGCACGATCACCATGTGCCAGTCCGACTGGATCACCAAAGGTAATTTGTGCTGAGCCATATTTCTTTGTATCTGAGAAACTGTACTTGCATATTTATTTTGGAAAATCGACAAGTAAGAAATTTTGGTTTCTTTTTGAGCCATTCTTGCCAAAAGATCAAAATGTCTCATAGCTTAGAAGAACTTTAGATTAGATCAGTATTAATTTAGTCATTGGAAGAGTCTTTGCTCCTTCACTTGACTTTGGCCAGGCCTGTCCCCTTGCATAAAACCTTACTCAGTCGAATGATTGCTGTTAAATGTGTTGGTCAAATGTGACCCCTGGTAGTCTGATGGTTATAGTGCACTTGCTTATGCTCAGAATTTTAAAGATATCGGTTTGACATTGCTGTAATGGATCATTTCTCTAATAAAACTTGATTCACAAAAATAAATAGAAATGACAGTTTCCTGAAAGTAGATTTAGAGGTCATTATCTCATTAAACTTACATGCTGGGCACTGATGGCAATTTATGCTCATTTACACAGTATCCTGACAAGAAAAATTTGTGCAGACACCTTGCTTTCAAAACTTCAAGTGGCATAGATTAGGGCTCAGGCTTTAGAGATATTAATGACAACAGCTAAGAAATTGTATGCTATATTTTGGGAAACAATTATACTAAATTATACTAAAGAGTAAACTTTTTTGAGTGGATAAGGATGAGGGAAAGCAAGTGCTGTACTATTCCCTTCTATAAGTTGGTTGTTTTGTTGTAATGGCTGCATAAAGAGAATGAATTAATTTTATTTTTGATTTTGAATTCAAATATAACATCAATTGAAACCTGTGTTTTGATAATAATTGAATATTAAGTACCATATTTATTTATTTATTTATTTATTTACCATTAAGTTTAAATATCTACTACTTTTTAAAATCGTAGTTCTCTATGCTTGGATGTTTAATGGATGTTTGGTTTTTTATCAGTCATCTCTCACTTTTTAATAGTATAGAAGGAAAATTATAACATTGAGAATGTATGCTAAACATTTGGCATATACATTAATTTTGTATATTTTACAAGTATGTATAATGTAAAATAGGTATATTTTACAATATTATAAAAGCTTCATGGCTTTAAAAAAAAAAAGGAAGATCAGAAATACCACTGATTATTTAGTCAAGAGTTTTTGTTTCTGCACTGGAGAACAGTTACTAAATTTTTTTTGGACCTAGCTGTTTTTGTTGCAGTCTTGACAGTGAGAATAACAATTTTTCTTAACTAAGAGGATTAAACTTTTAAAAAAAAAGTCCTATTTGTGTTAATAGCCTTGCAGGTAGAATAACTCACTTATCAGTGTAATTAATGTGTAAAGATACTGCACCAAAAATGAATAGGTCAACCTGTAAAGTGAGACCAAATACCACTTTTGCTTCAAAACTTCTGTAGGCTTATTGTCTTGAAATGGTAATATCTTGAAGCAAGAGCCATGAAAGTAATGTTTTCCAAGGAAGAGAATCTTCCCAATATTTATTATGATAACTGATGGAGGAGAAAAACACTTCCTGAAAACCTCAATTGACGTAAGCATAGTTTTCTAAACTGCTGTTAGTAATTACTTCCCAATGAGAATACTTTGTTTTTCTCTGAGATGTGTGCACTTAGAAGCTTTATGTGCTGCTATGTATTTTTCCTGATAACTTGTTTTTCAGCTTTTTCGTAGTAGTACACATAATCTTCAAGAACATTTCCCCATTTATGACACAGTTCAATTCTGAAAAAGGAAGTATGCTGCTGGAGGTTGTTTACACATGAGCTTAGTGTAAACATAAATGAATACCTAGCATGTTACCTGAAAAAATGAACAGTGTGTTGTCTTCTCCCTCTATACTTGTCTTCTCCCTCCGCTTGCTCCCTAATCACTGTTCTTTTTGTGCTTGTTCCCTGTCACCACATCATCCCCCTTTGGAAGTTGGATTTATTTGTTTTTGTGTATTTATTTGTTTTCTCTGCATTGGGCATTCCACTTTCCCAAGCGTGTCTCACAATGCATTCCAGCAGCTGCACAAGGGAATCCATGGAAGCCTTAGGGAAGCAGTCTCTCCTTCCTCCCGCTGTTTCCTTGCTCGGGTTCCCCGGTGCCCCTCAGGCCTGGAGCACGCACACCTCCTGAAGAGAGCGCCCACAGGCCAAGACGAGCCCGATGCCTTGGAAGGATCTCAGTTAGAAAGTGTAAAGCCAAGCTTAGTCATGAGAGAGATACGCATGCCTAGGTATGCCCGTATGTAATCAATATTTGTTGTTTTGTTTAGTCTTCTCCTTGTATGGTGAGGAAACAGGACAAACCGTTGCCAGCGCCTCCGCCTCCCTTGAGAGACCCTCCGCCGCCGCCTCCGGAAAGGCCGCCCCCGATCCCGCCGGACACGAGGCTCAGCAGGCACCTGCACCATGCAGAGAGCGTGCCTTCCCGGGACCAGCCCGTGCCCCTCGAGGCCTGGTGCCCCAGGGAGGTGTTTGGCACCGCTCAGCTGGTAGGATGTCGAATAGGGAGCGATGCCTCCCCCAAAGCAGGACTGACAGCGGTTTCAAACCTAAATGGAAGGCACAGCCGCATAAGTTCTGAGTCAGGATTTATGAGAAAACACAGGCGTCACGAACTGCCTGCAGAAAGTGCCAAGGTAAGAGATGTGCCGAAGCCTGAGGTGAAAATACTCTTTTATATTGGTCGGTGTAGGCCTGCTTTTTTCCTCCTTAGGTGGAGTCAAATCTCAGAGCTCGAGCTGCTAGAATTGTCATAATGAACAGAGCTGCTAATGGAGCAAAGGCTGTAACTTGTCCACAACAGCTCTTGACTTCGCTTGGACATTTAACGTGTTTTCAGTGTTGAGGGAGTTTGAATTTGCCACTTACGACCTTTCCACTGGATCACATAGCTTGGTTTGGCCTTTGTTTGTCACTCATAGGAGAAGTGTGTCTGCCTGTCTGTAATGGACAGCGTGAATGTTTGTAACTGTGGTGTTTCTTCTGTCCATTTGGTTGTTTTCGTTTATAAATTAAAGATATCTGGGGGAGGAATGTGTAGAGGGCGTAGTTTTGGCTTTAGCCACCTGTGCAAAGTTTGCTGGAAGCCATCACAAACAGTCCAAATTCTGCTAGGAAAATACCTTGGAGGTTTTCCTTCAGCTTTAAGAGAGATGTAGAAACTCTCCGTTCAATTACAGCTGTGAAGGATGAACAAGAATCAGGTGGTTTAATAAGCGCAGTAGCATCCGTGATTAATGTCTCAGTTCTGCCTCCAAATTTGCAAGTAAGCAAAAGCTCGATTATGGGTTTGCTGACCCTAACCTTCTTGAAAGAAAATTTTATACGAGTGTTATACATCTTCCTTGCACTTGTCAAAATATGTCCCGTAAGTCATGCTATGCTGCTGATGTATTGAGAGGCTGAGACGTGCTGCACCTCAGCGCAGCGTTACAGGACCACCAAGTAGCGACAGGGAGAAATAGAAGTACAAAATGGATCATCTTTTTTTCATGCCAATACAGGGCACCTGTAGTGCTTTGAGTATATGGAAGAGAGAAAGGAGTAGAAAATGAGGAATAAGGAGGCCAGAGTGCAGAAGGTATGGGGAGGGGTAAAGAAAAGGAAGAGGAAGTGGAAGGGAAAAAGCTCAGCCATGAGATGTACATGAAACACTGGCAACTACTGACGTATATTTGAGTACTCCATACTGAAAATTAAAACATCTGTTGCTTTTTTTTTCTGACCACTGAAAGCTATGCTCTGATTTGCCATTTTGCTATCAAAAGATCACCAGACAGGAGAAACACAAATTGATGAAAATATAGTAGCCATCCCTGCTGACTCCTTATTGAAATTTTAGAAGGAAATAAAATCCAGCATTATGTTTAAGTTACAGATTGTGCTTCACATGTACAACTTCCCAAAGTTTGTAAAAGAAATCGCACATGTTTATCTTATTTCAGCCATCGTTTTGGGGAACATTAATCACAGGACTACCTGTAGAGACCACAGAAGTAGACAATAGATATAGGTACAGACATTCTTGCTGTGCTTTTCTGTTTTCACGAGGGTTTTACTTTTCTTCCTCTGATAAAATTATAAATCCTCTTCTTTGCAGTTTGATTTGGAGTATTTACAGACATTTCAAAATACCAGAATTTCTCTACCCTAAGGATCTTCAAATGCACCCATGAACCCTATTGAGTTGCATTTCTGAAGGCAGAATTTGGCCTTTTGGCAACAAAAATCTTTTCTGTAATATGTGCTTTTGCTGAAGATAGAATTTCCAAGTAAAACCTAAAGTTTAACCTCTTGTCTGCTGATACCTACACTGGCGAGCATAAAGCATCTCTGGTGCCGGAATCAAAGAGGATAATGACAAGATTTCTAGGAAGCCCCAATCATCACATTAGAGGGATGTGTTTGTCTTATTATTGATGTTTTGGTGATGGCTTTCACAAAAAGGAGTGTTCAGGTAGAGGGAGTTGTTTATCTCTGTCAGATTTGCAAGTTCTGGGCTTCCGTTTGCCGCTTTGCGTTTGAAGCACTGCTATGTTTTGCTGCTCCTTGTGTTTTCTTTTTTTTTTTTTTCTTAATAAATTCTCTAAATTGAGAAGAGGCTGCTGTCTGAGACATGGTGAGCAATCTCTGAAAAAAAGTATGGTAGCTTTGAGGGGAAAAGCAGTGCTGAAAGATGGAGGAGCAATAGAGAAAAGTTTTGGAGCCAGAGAGACAGGGTTGAAGCTAGTAGAGAGCGGAGGACTGTTCTTCTGAATTCATGGTAACAGTCAGTGCTCAGGTTCTGGAGATGAGCCTGCGGCAGGAAAGCAGCTAATAATGCCTTCTGGCTTGAGAGAACAACCGAGGGGGTTGGAGAAGACAGAGAGCAGGGAATCCACCGTCCCCTGTAGCCCGCAGAGCTCAAGCCAGAGGTAGTGTCACACCAAGGAGAAGGACAGGGCTCTGCTTGTGCCTCCTCAGGGTGCCTGTGGTGCTGCTGCCAGGTAGGGACTCTAAGGAGAGTTCATGGTGGGGCAGGCAAAGAGGAGCGCAGACTCTGCCATCCACGCACCAAGAGGAGGAGCTTTGGGGGCTGCAGATGATGCCGGTGCCGACTGCCCTGACTTACTGTGCTGTGAAGCTGTGCAGGCTTCTGTGCTCATGCAGGAGAGCTGCTCTCGCTTGCACGTGTGCTCTGGAAGCATGTGCGGCCTTTGTGCATTGGTGCATGCGATGGGTTTCACCGCAAGCACTGCGTGTTTCCCAGTTTGGGCCTTCTGCCAGATGAGCAAAGGTGAAAAGCTGGCTGAGCAGAGCGTGTTTCAGGTGCATCTCTGTGTGCTGTGAGGGCGCCTGTATTCCTGCACTGGCCAAGAGCTTTCCAGTAGCAGCGTCCAACGTTAGAGTTCGTGGGGAATCTCATTGCCGAGAGTGAATACCAGTAGAATCTGCACAGCAAAGGGTTTCTTACTGCTGTAGTTCTGTAAAACTACCTCAGTTTACTTATGAAACAGCACTGGAAATTTAAGCTGAACATGTTTTCATGAGTAGCCAATCTTATATTTGCATTAGTAATGCACAGATATGCCACTTCCTCTTATTATTAATCTAAATGTAATTTCAGAATTGGACAAAATGTATATCCTATTTTTCTTTAAATATAAAGCTTCGTAGTTTATAGCCACTTGGTCTTTGGCCTTTGTTATTATATATATATGACTGGAAAATTGTGAATCATGCAATCAGTTTAATTTAAACTGCTATTTTTTCTTCTCAGTTTTTCAGTTACTTTATATCTTTTTTTCTAAAACTTAGGAAGAGGATATTTTCATTAAAAAAAAAGAGTATATATGTTGTTTCTTTTTGTAATTTTAAAAGGAGAAAATGATTATTTTTGTAATTTTAAAGGGAAAAAAAAAGCAAAAACTCTGCAGTATGTTTTGTAGTATTTGCACATTCGGTCAGAATGATTAAAGAAAAACTTTGAAAAGGCAGATGGTTTTCAAAGAATAAAGGAAATGTGGATACTTTCCACCAGATATGACTTTAATAGCGTAAAACAAAATTCTATGGGCACATAAAATCATGTAGTTTAAATGACTGAACTGAAACTTTCCAGCTGCCGTTTTAATAACTCTTTGGCTTTCAAATGGATTTAAAAGAAAATGCATTTTGAATTGGGAAAAGGTGTTTCTCTACTGCTTTTTTCATTGCTTCTGTGTACCCTAAGCTGTGGGATCAGAAGTTTGGCATCAAAGTGATGAATATGCCTGTTCTCAGAATGTGATGAAACTGTCTTTTCAATGCAGCTCCTTCCCTGAAGGAGATTGCATGTGGTTTAACTGACTTTATATTCCATTGCCTGATACATCTGGCAAAATACTGTGACACCTGAGAAATATTTGAAATTTGTGAAATATTCAGCTTTGAGATTTTATTGTTTACAGATCCCATCTAAATCTTTCGGTGTCCAAGAACTTTGTTTAATGCCTTAAAATTTGTGTTCTTGCTCTTAAGCACTGATATATCTGAAGAAAGGTGTTTTAGAAGTTCATGGTGTTGTACCTAATTATGATGTCTATTTATCAGAATTGAGGCAAAGCAACAAGATTTTCCTTCCAGCTAGACTCTCGTTTAACATACTACATTTTTTTAATCTGATTTTAAAAGGGATACCAGGTTTATATCTTCAACTCTACCTTTACATATAATTCCAGATGTGCTCTGACCCAGTATTGAGATTGTTGGAACGAGCACTTCTCAAATTGGAATAATAACCCCTCTGGAGTAAAGTACCACTTTACTCTGGAGAAGTTTCTTAGCTGTTTCCTTCCTCAGTTGCTCTTAGAAGTGTTTTCTTCAGTTTATAGATCTAAGCCATTTGATTAAAGAGGGCAGTTGACAGCTCCGAGTTACTGTTTCTAGCTGTATGCACATGCCGAAGAGTAGCATTACATGGATTTTCATCCTTGGCTCATGGTTCAGTTATATTATAATCTTTTGTTATTGCTGAAGTCCTGCAGGTAAGGAGGGGTCTAAGCCATTCAGCTGTAACTGAGCAGTCCCTCTGACTGTGATACAAAGCTACCTCTTTTGGAGAAGGTTTGCGTTCATGTGTTGTACAAATCCCAGTTGCGCTCAGCTGAAGCACGCATGAGAAGAGCCGTTTTGTAGCTCTGTTCTGTGAACTCTTAGAAAGGCCTTTGCTTATAGCCTCCTTGAAGTGTGCTTTGTAGTGTCTCTTTGATGAACATCTGTGTTGAGAAAGAGGTGACACCCCTGTAACATTTCTGTGATTTTTAGGTATTTTCAAATGGTCATCTGGTAAATGAAGAATATGATGTCCCTCCACGGCTTTCCCCGCCTCTTCCAGCTGCCTCCGTCATCCCTAGTATAAAGTAAGTTAACTTTGCATGTAAAATAAATATCTGTAAAAGAAGCTCTATGGGACTAAGAGAAAAAATATCACTTGGTAATTGATTTTCCATGAATTTGATGTTTTACAAAGAGCAAGTAAATTGTGTTAAGTGGCAGCACTTTTAATATTAATTTAACATATTGCATTTTACAGCAAAAGAGCATGAGTTGCAGCAGATATTGCTCATAGGCATTTAGCAGTGGGAGCAGATGCTCTCTGTTTCTGCTCCTACTACTACTGAAGCAGCGGATTTGGAGTTATGTATTACAGGAGATGAGAGATCTAGAGAAAGTGTGATTGGGCTTTCTGCACGTCAAGCTTTATTTATTTTTCGTTTGTCATGGCTTAAAAAAAAAAAAAAAAAGTTGTTTCCATTTTAAATGGAGGCAACCTCCCTGAGTTACCAAACATGTTTTAGAAAATATTATTTCAAGCTGCTGACTACTCCTAGTCTTCCAGTAATGTCAGTAATGTGACTGTTTATTTCTTACGAATTTGTTGTTCTGGATAGCAAGTATATTTTGCACTCTGAATCCCATAGGATATATATATATTTATATATATAATTATTATTTTACAGAAGAAGAGATTTTTTAAGAAAGAAAATTTGGAAGTGATCTGAAATCTTGTGCTTGTGTTTTTATTAGGCAATCAGAGGCTATTACATTGTTTGATATTATTTATCCCAGCATTTTGTTAATACATTGGTTTTTCTTCTGTGGAAGAGCTAGAGTAAAAGTGTGGTGGAGCAGTAGCTCTTTTATTCAGAAGCATATTCAGGTGGAATTGGAGCTGAGTTGAATTTCTCCATGTTTACCTTCAGAAGCAAATTAGGACATTAGGACATTAACCAGACATTTTTGTAGTTGAATGTTGAGACGAAACCTGATTGCTGCAGGGTCTCAAGGGAGTCCTAGTTTGGATATTTCATGTATTTGTTTCCCTCTACAGATTGGATTCCTTGGCTTGCTTACGCCTCCCATGATACATTCAACTCATGAATGCTCCACACAGTGTCAGTCAGAAAGAAACAGGAGTAACTCTGGAGAGACTAAACATTTTAATGTTCCAAATCAAATTATTTAATTGTGAAGAGGGATAAATTTTATTTTTATTCTTCATATTGGCCCAGGATCAGATAATGTTTGAGGTTGGAAGGGACCTCTGGAGATTATCTTGTGCAACCCTCCTGCTCAAACAGGATCTCCTAGGTCATGTTGCCCTGGATGGTGTCCAGGCAGCTTTTGAATATCCCCAAGGAAGGAGACTCCACAAGCTCTCTGGGCAACCTGTTCCAGTGCTCTGTCACCGTCATAATGGAGGGTTTTTTCCTTATGTTCAGATGGAACTTCCAGTATTTCAGGTTGTGCCTGTTGCCTCTTGTCCTATTGCTGACCTGAACTGAAAATAGTAGTCTGGCCCCATGCCCTTGACACCCTCCCTTAAGGTATTTGTACACACTGATCAGATCGCATCTCAGGCTTCTCCAGGCCCAGCTCACTCAGCCTTTTTTCATAAGAGAGATGCTGCAGTCCCCTAATCATATTTGTAGCCTATGCTGGACACTCTCTAGTAGCTCCCTGTCCCTGTTGTACTGGGGAGCCCAGACCTGCACCCAGTGCTCCAGATGTGGCCTCACCAGAGCTGAGGAGAGGGGCAGGATCCCTTCCCTTGACCTGCTGGCAACGCTCCTCCTGATGCAGCCAGGATCCCATTGGCCTTCTTGGCCACAAGGGCACATTGCTGCCTCATGGTTAACTTGTTGTCAACCAGGACTCCATGGAACTGCTTTCCAGCAGGTCGACCCCTAATCTGTACTGGTGTCTGGGGTTATTCTTGCCCAGGTGCAGGACCCTGCACTTGTCCTTGTTGAACCTCATGAGGTTCCTCTCTGCCCAACTCCTCATCTTGTCCAGGTCTCTGAATGGCAGCACAGCCCTCGGGAGTGTTGGCCACTCCTGCCAGTTTCATATTATCTGCAGGCTTGCTGAGAATGCAGGCTATCCCTTCATCCAGGGCATTTGTTGAAATGATAAAACATTCTGCTTCGTTAAAATCCTTTATTTATTCAGATTTTTGCAAACGCAGTCAAGATGCGGAGTGCAATACATACCATACAATGTTCCATACTGGAATTTCCCTAAGATACCGTGACAGTGTAGCCAAGACAACATCAATATTAAGCTATTCCAAAACTAAAATGTGTAAATTCAGGTTGATCGAAAGAACTATTTTTGTTAATTTCAATCTTCAGAGTAGAAACAGCAAGAATATCTGCATTTGGTTATAAACAGACCAAATCAACTTTTCCAGAACGAATTCATTTTGATTTCTGGTTTAGTTTTCTTATATACCTTTTAAAAAGTGTGCAATACATTCAAATTTTGATTGTAAAAATATATAAAATGTAGGGATAGGAAGCTCAAAATATGTACAGTATTGATACTTCCTACTATACAAAAGCAACTACTAAACTGTCACAAGGAATGGTAGTTAAAATAATCACAGTATGTTATTTTTGAACCATTAATATGATAATTTTAAATACTTTTCAGGGTTTTTTTATATAATCTATAATGAAGTGTGGCAAAATGTAGGTGGAATTTTTTTCTTCAAAAATAGCAAGTTTAACAAGCGTCAACTATATTTTGCACAATCCCAAGAAATGCTTTCAAAAAGACAACCCAAACAATGTTCTGCATGATGTAATTTGAACTGCCTGAGAGAATGTCTTTTACAGACTATTCTTCCTTTTCTTAAGTTAAGACTGTAGCCCACTTATACGTTGGACTATTTTATGTATTTGCTCCAAAATGCTCTTCCTTCCCTAGCTGTTCTACTGCAGTCTCATGCAAGATTCTCATTTGTGTCCTACTCTGATCTCTCCAAAGTGGTTGCTGACAACCAAGGAAATGAACCATATTTTCCCCTCAGCACCTGCATTGCTGACCTCAGATGTGGCAATGACTATTCTTTCACTGGACTGTTTATGCGTTGTTTAAATTATGTTGCGTTATTTTTAAACATTGTGATCAAATGGCAGTCAAATATCATTACAAGTGAAGTGCAAACTGGAAGACTAAAATGATATTTTTAAATTATGAATTACAAAATGTTAATAAAATATAAGATGCACATGTAGGACAAAGATATGGCTATCTCCATGGTAGTATTGTAAAAATATCTAATGCTTTACAAAAAGAAAGCACTTCTCAAATAATGAACTCGCAATATGTGCCATCTGGCAAAAGTTTTCCTTACTTGAAAGGTGGAGAAAGAGAGACTTGGCTAGTCTGAAGGACTTGCCTACAGCTGCGTGTCTCAGAAGCAGAGGCAGGTTAAAACCTGTGCCCCTGCTAACTCCAAACCAGTGGTGGCTCTTTAGCAGGGAGGTGACCTTGGGAAGAAGATTTTGGCACTTGCAGACAGGCCTTGTGTGAACAGAGTGCTCGGGTTCCTGTGGTTACCAAGTAAGTAAGGAAAAAGCAGGGGCATAAGCTAGCTGAGTCTCTTGGATTTATTTAGGCGGTTGGTGACAATAAACAATTATCGGGAAGTGAATCTCCCTGCTTCTCCATCTGAGAACTACTATTTTTTTGGGGTGGGGGGGAGGCGGGGGGCTACTGCTACATCAGTCTGTTGCAGTGGATTCCTGGATTCTGTTCCTGGATTGCCAAGTAAGGATGCCTGGGCATCTGCAAAAGTGAGGACAGTTACACTGTGTGGACTTTTGGGCTTTTTACCTGAGCAGTCTACCGAACATGTAGGGCTTTTAGTTTTTGTAAAGAAATCTGACAGTCTACAGAATTCTTATTGTCCTGATGCATTTTTACCACCTTTTCTTTAAATGGCCATACAGCAGTGACACAAACCTCTTGTCTGTTAAAATAGGAATAGAAATCAAAGCTGGAAAAAGCAATTTCAAGAGGCAATGCTGTATTTACAAAAGGCCTTTTGCTCCCTCTACAGAAGGTGGCTGAAAACTGCAGTGCCATTTACAATTCAATGATGTAAATCTTCCTGGTTTTCAATCTTGTCTTCAGTTAGTAGATCTTTACAGAAGAAATTGGATTCCCATCTTTCACAAGCTTGTTCTTTTAAGTCAAAAGAACTACTACTACTGATTGCAGGAAAAGAGTGTCTGAGAAGTTAAAAATACCTAGGGAGCTCTAGACCCCAATTATGGTTGAACAAAAGCAGCCCATCCACTCTTCTGCCTGCTATACTTCTTTCTTTATCCATCATCTTTTTTATATTTATTTTAATTTAGTGCCCCCCTGGTGGCTACCCTTATTCATTTCTGTTCTCACAATACCTGGACATTTTGAAGTCATGTGGCATCATCTAGTGTAAGTGGTGAAAAATGTACATTTTTTCTTTAAGGAACGTCTGTGTGTCAAATGCTGCTTTTGTTGGGAAAAAAGAGATGTCCCTAGCCTGTCAGTTCAGCTCTTCTTGCCTTATGATAAAATCAAGCTAATCGGATCACCGGAAGAGAAATTATGTTCACTCCCTTCTCAGGTTTCCCTATGGTCCTTAACAACTTCAGGAAACGACACATTAAGTAGATGTGTCTTGTAATGTGGTATGCAGGGGCCATTAGCCGTACTGCCGAGCCATAGATCAAAATGGGCACAAATGCATTGCATATCTTTTTTTATAGGTCCTTAAGCAAAGAATGAATGTACTGTTTACTGCATACTTTAATATCCTTGTAATTTCTGCAGTCATACACTGGCTCCTGTCGGTGTACAGCTAACTTAAGCATCAGACTTTTGTGGTTTCCATGTATGAGTGACGTGAATCAAACCCTTAATGTGACCTTTTGTATTTAAAATGTTTTGTGAGCTTCTTATATAGTTGAATGTATTATTATAATCACTATAGACAGAGGAGCTATCTATATTAAAAAAAAAGTTGATCTAGCTAGTTATGTCTTACAAAAATAAGATGTCGATCTTGCTAATGTCCAACAGAATCACTTTCACTCTAGATGGTGCTACCTAAACTGAAGGTTTGCCCATGAGTTTGTTTAAGCTCACAGAGCAGAAATCAGACAGTAGGGTTCTTAATTTTAAAAAAAATCTCACCTCCAGCAGTGTTCTCACTTGTTAGCTGGGAGTGGAAATTGTACAGTCTGCCTCTCTCTTGAGGTCCCACTTCTTGCGGGGAGTAGTACAAGTTACTGCTCATGGTGACAATTCCAGTTCAGAGGACAAATACCTTTAAATTATAGGTAAATTCCTGAAGCTTGATAATGATATATCCAAAATCAGACTTCACTGAAAGGATGATTCCCTGAGCACTGCTAAATATTCTTTGCTCTGAAATAGTTTTTATTTTGATCTTTTGATAAATGCAAGCATGTTAACGCCTTTTAAGTGTTTGTTTTGTAGTCTAATTCTGTGCATTCTCTGCTGTGGTGTACTTTCTTAAAATGACAGAAAAGGCAGTAACCATATAATTTTTTTCTTATACGGAGAGACGTGTACTAAGGACATTTAGGCTAAAGGAGATTTTGTAATAATTAAACTAAACCTGATCTTTTTCAAATCTCCATAGGTGCCCTGTTCCTCTAGCAAATACCCTCTCTGATAAATCAAGAGACCACACAGATGATGATGATGAATACAAAGTTCCTTCTTCCCATCCTGTAACACTGAGCTCACAACCACCTCATTGTCATAATATAAAACCTCTTGCTCGGTAAGGTCATTTATCTGATGGAAGTTAATTTACAAAAAAAAACAAAAAAAAGAGAGAGAAATAACTTTTTTTTTTTCTCTCCAAAAATTATTTTGGGTTCAACATCTCTATTCATGGTTATGCTTGCATGCTTTCTAAAATGTCTTATATTTTCAAGCTTGGATTATTTATGCCTCTGTTTCATTTGAACCCCACCACATTCATAGACATGTGAAGTTCACTGTATTGTATCTCAGTTGTGTCAGAACTCAGTGCTTTTAGGTTTTGAATACCGTTCCTGTAGTTAATGCTTTTCACCCTTAGGTTACGGATTTTCAGACCTGACTGGGAGGTTCAACCTCACAAATCTTGTAGATTTAATTTTAAGGAGAACTGTGTGACTAGGAACACCAAAGTCAACTTTGAAAATCTTCAACTTTCACATTTTATTTAATACATTTTAGGAAGCAACACAGTGCTGAAAAATATGTGAATCATCCTGCTGTGTCTAGCAGCTGTACATAACATACTTTTATTCTGTTTTTGTCACACTTGTACAATGCTTTTTTGCTTTTCAAGCCTGTTCCACAGCACATTTTCTCAGGAAGAAAATCTTTTTTTTTTATTCAGATGGAATCTCTCTCTTTTGCTTTAAATATGTTCTAAAATCATATCCCCAAACTGTCATAGTCTTTGAATTACTAATGGATTGTAGCAAGGAGATTTGGAGCCAAGGGACATGGCAGGAGACTCTGTCAATCATGGTGAATTTCTTGGTCCTAGACTCATAAAATCCAAAGGGGTGGAATGAAAAGAGTAAGCCTGAAAAAAAAGAGGGCAATTCCTTATTGGTCTTGTAAGTCAAAGGCGTGATATTAAAATCAATTATTGATCTACAAAGCAAATTCTGTTGTTAAAAACTCTGGTAACATATTGCCACTTGTTTTTTGGTTTATTTTTTAGAATTGAAAGGACCCACCATCTAAGCATCTCAGCTTATGTCTCTTTCTAAAATTAGCCAGTTATAAAATGTAGGCCTTGCTAATCAGAGATGTTGTTCAAGTGGAGAAAGGTCGTGTTCTGAGCGCTGCTTGCGAGCTCGTTGCAAGATGTGGGGGGCAGGGGCTGTCCTTGCCAAAAGTGCTGATTGCATATAAGTGAATGTTAAGCAGTTGTTTGAGCTTTATGGTCTTGCACGCTTAAATCCTATCTACTGGATTATTTTTTGTTGTTGTGTTTAGAAAAAGAATCTGATGAATAAAATACTATGTTAGCCAAGGATAAAATGAAAAAAAAAAATCCAGGGTCCTAGTTTTATTTACATCTATCTTTTTTTTAATCTGGATTTGTTGAACTACTATGTGGGAATATCTTTCTCTGCCATGTCAGGCATCTAAGAGAGGACTGAGTTGCTTACATGACCAGAGTTGCACAGGCTGTTACCTTTCTTAGATAGGGAGAAGAGAGCAGTACATGGACAGGTCACCCTGCTTTAGCAGGTCCTGACAGCGTGGTGGAATGGGAGTGGGTCTGCAGAGTGGAAGAATTGATTCCAAGAAGCTGACATCCACACTGCGTGTTTTGGGAGGTTTTAAGCTCAGACTAGCCCTGCTGCGGTCCTGCAGGCAGAGTAAGCTTGAGGAATTGCAGCACACCAGGTCAGCTCCTGCAGGGCATCTTTTAGGTTGATGTCACCCAGAGGCAAATCAGTCTGCGTGCTCTGATACCTCTGTGAATCAAATGTGAATCAAAGTGCTAAAAAGTAGGGGTGACCAGGAGATTTGTTTGGAAAAATCATTCTCTTTGTTTGCACTAGAACACTAAGGTAGTGTAGTTTTTTTTTTTTTTTCATAAACTTTTAGCACTTTTAAGCTTGGTCATGCAGTATTATCCTCTTTTACTTCTTTTTCCTAAATTCTACATCGTTAGCTCTTGGATAGTAAGTACGGAGTTCAGTAAAATAAAGAACCTACAAGACTTCTTGTGGGTGGTTTGTAATTTATGAACAGCATAATTCCTCCATAACTACCCGCAAATTTGTGTTTATTCTAAGGTTTTGTGCTCATTTGCCAGTAGATATGACACTTCCAAAACCAGTACAAAAATAGCACATAATATGATTCTCAGTCATGTTTTCTAGCAGATAACTTAATTGTCTGGTTTGTTACAGCTGATCTCTTCCTCCCACGTAAGGGCGAGTTTAGTAATAAGGAATGCAAGAAAAGGTTTTTAGCTTTAGTCTAATTTAGTTACCATTGGAGGAATGACATATTATTGCATTTACTGTCTTTTCCTAATAAAGCTGTTTTCAAGTAGGACAGAAGGTTTAGCTGTTAGTAGTACTTTGCTGCCATTCTTTCTGGTGTTGTCTCCTGCCAAAGGAAACGGCTCTTCCAGCGTGATTCCCGCACCCATCCCTGGGCTCGCCATGGCCGGGAGATTTCCTCAGTGGTGCCATGATAGCACCTTGTTGCCTGTGGCTGGTTAAATTATCGAAAATGAGGAATAAATTCAAATTCAAAGAATTCTCAGTTACTTAGTTCATCTGCTGAGGAGTCAGAAGAAGAGTGTCGTAGCCCCTGCATTTGAGAGATGGAGGAACCAGTCTGATTTCAGAGATGGCAGGAACGCTTCCTCTGGCACTTCCCTTGGGGAAACCAATACTTTACTAAATAGCTCTTACCATTAGAGTTTGTTTTGCCTTTTTTTTTCATTCAGTCTTGTAATTATTTCTTATGTTTATTTCATTAGCCCTAGTTATAACTCTGGGGACCACAAACACAATTTCACTTGCTCTTTCCTGTGTATATACTCTAAATGATTCCAGACCTGTATTCAGTCCCCCTTTTCCATATGGCCAAAGCAGATAGAACTAGTGTTGGCGTGGTTGGTGGAACCTGAAATCTGAAATTCCTGCCCCAACTACCCTGGCAGCTTGACCAGCTATCAGTAATGGTGTGTGTGATACCTCCCTCTCTCTCTTGTCCCCTTTCTGTCTCTCCCCCTGCCTTTTTCCTCTCTCCCCCCTCACCCTATCCCAACTCGCGTGGTGCCCTTTCCAAAGCAACTCCCGAAACTCTCCCTGGTTCTTTCCCAGAAATGCAGGGTCCACAGCTTAATGAGGAGGGCCCAGGTGTCATTTCACAGTTATTTATTGTTATTGAAAGGCTTTCAACCTCTGATATTGTCTATCAGATTTTCAACTGAGTTATCATATAAAAATAATCTTCAGTAGATAATGTTTTTCTGACAGCATTATCGGTACCTGTCTACTTTGTCGCCTGGATCTCTTAAGCTTGTTGTAGCTGGGTTTAATTTTAACTTAATTTGATATTGTTTTTTAACTTAGGGGAGCGATGTCTTTCCAATTTTAAAATATTAAAAACTTGTAGTCAAAGAATCAGCAAGGCTTAGCTTTTCTATGAAGAAATTAATAGACTCATGTAAAACTACTTTGGCAGAGATTGTTCATGTTCCATTTTCAATGCGTGGCTGAGAATTTAGTTAAAATATGTTATTGTCAGCAGTGTGTCCTGTGTGTGGTGATGGCATTGTTTTTAATACCTTTTCTTTCTAGGTCCTTCAGTGTAGGTAATTACCAAAACGCACATTTCCTTTCTTTCTGTAAGGGGAATTATGAGAGCTGGGAAGGTGAAATAGAATTGAGTCTGTGACTTAATTGTGTAAATAAACAGCTCTGAAATGAGGACTATTTTTAATATTAGCTCTTCCTCAACTTGGTTTTTCAGTCTTGAGTGTTTTTTTAAGAGAGCAATGTAGTTCCTTAAAGGGATTTTGTTTAGGAGTTAGCCAGTAACCCCTCTCAGTATGAAAAACAAAGTTTAAAATTGGCTCAGTCTATGTTCTTTCATTTGTTTCAGTATAATGGATTACGCCAACTCAGATACTTCTCATTTTGGGGATGAATACTCCCATAACTGGTAGATTACTTCTTTTTTAATGTCTGTCTGCAGGGCGTGTGAGAACGGTCAATGCGCTGGAATAACGAATGGAACACACGGGGCTGCTGCTGAGATGAAGAAATCAAAACATCCAGAGCTAGGTATATATATTTTTTCAGCTGTTTATTTTTTCTTCTTTAACAAGAATGTTTACTCTGTGCTGCTGCAGGGGTACAGCGAGAAAGCTGATTCACCTCTTGTGATTGTGTCATTCAGGAGATGCCTATGACGCACCTACTGCTCCGGTACCTTTGCCACCTGCACGACCTCCTACCAGAGACAACCCAAAACACAGCTCTTTGCTCAACAGGACACCCTCCGATTATGATCTTCTGGTGCCCCCTTTAGGTTGCAGACTTTTTGCTGATTACATTTAATGGTGAACGTAGCTTAGATGAGCCAAATGCTGTGCCTATTGAAAAACCAAACAGTATGTGTGTTAGGAGAACTGTACAATCTACGGGCTAAATCACACAGCTGTGCTTCAGTATTTTCATCAAAATATGTGCTTGGCATTTGTCTGTAAGCCCTAATGCAAGTCACAGGCAAAAGGCAAACTCAGTCTATATTCAGACTGCAAAAAAAGGCAAAAATGTTTTCCATAAAATAGATTATAAATTTTTGTCAATTACTGTGAAGTTTGACTGCTGCAATTTAGTGCAGCTGTGGGGAGTTTTTCATATTGTAGCTTAAATGTTTGCAACTATTTTATCACGCACAAAGAACAAGGCTTAAGAGGTAGCATCTGAGTTAAAGAAAATTAAATTTTTATTTTCCCCATTATTAAGAAGTAGTCCAAAACTCGCTGCTTTCTACAGTCATCAAAAGCAGTCTTTCCCAGCCTTGCTTTGTGTTCTCGTATCCAAAAGTCAGTGAGCTTTTTAAGGCTCCATATACCTTGATTGACAAACTCACTGTATGATTGCTAGGCTGTGCTGTGTATGTCACCATCCAATTTTTTGGCTTCATAAAACCTCTGAACATTTGCCATGCTCCTGCCACTGTACCTTCTGGGGTCTCTGAAGCATTCAGATTTGCAGGAGCGCATAGAATTGAAAGGAGAGGAGCAGGTAAAGATCACACTGCTTGGTAAACCTGGTCTTGGCTCTACCATCTTGTATAGAGGGAAATTCTTTGGTCAAGGCCAGAGAAATTCACTTTGATTTCTTGGGTCAAAGCTTTAAATCAGCAGATCTTCCAGTAAGATGATACATAGTATAAAAGTAGCAGATCTGATGTAGGCAGCTTTGTTGTTTATAAATACAGGTGTTCTCTTCACCACTGAAGCATCTCTGCTATTCTACAGTGATGCTCAGTGAGATGCTCATTACAGCAAATGAGCCACTAAGCAATGTCTCTGCCCCTGTCCCAGCAAAGCAGCAGTGTGCAGTCTGGGTGAGGATCCAGAGCATGTTTTAGAAGTGTCTTGTCCATAGTAAGAGTCAGGTTTACACCTCTGTTACTGGAGTCACTGAACTCCTCGGTGAAGCCTAGGAGTACGGGCCTGTTAGCATCCAAGAAACAAAAATATTAGGCGTCACTCTTGCAGTATTCTTACTGAGGTCTTGCTTACTTAATAAGTCTTTTTGTGAATGCAGGTGAAGATGCCTTTGATAGCTCCCCGCCTTCGCTGCCTCCACCACCACCACCTGCTCGACACAGCATCATTGAGCACCCCAAACCTGCCGGCTCCGGAAGCCGACCTCCTTCAGGACATGAACTGCTCCTTCATCCCCCTGGTAGGAATGCCAAAGGAACAATGCCTTCTCATTTTTGTTTACTCTGGAAGCTTATCTTTTCTGTGATGAAGTTGTCATCAAGCTTCAGAAGTCTATTCTGCCTGTAGTTCAACATAAAAAGCTGAAAAATAGGTTTTTAGGAATGGTGAAGATGAAGCAAATCAGAATATAAAAAGTCTCTGGTTTTCATTCTCATGAAGTAATGAGATATAGTCAATATTTTTATACTAGACTTCGCATTTTGGTAAACAGTGATTTTCTTGTAAAGATTGTTGGTTTTCAAGTGCCAAGTTTTCTGTTGTGTTCTGCGATACTAGTATGTATCAGCCATTGTCTTTTATAGTTCAGTATAATACATATTTTTTGTCTTATATAAGTGGGAAAGATGAGAACAGAAGAAAAAATAATATCTCGTTTTGTTAGCACTACTACTGAAAATTTTGCTGCAGAACTGTACTAATTGTGAACACCGCAATTGTAGGGTTCTGTGGTCCTTAAGATTTTGACAGTAAAGGTCAGATTTTCACCTATGGCTTCCCCTCCTGTAGTACTTTTACAGTCCAGTATTTGTTTCTTAAAAGGCAAAAGTTATGCTCACAATTTATGTATTTTTGTCTTGGGTTGAGCAGTGTTTTATTGGCAGAGCTCATTCATACAGTTTCTGATGAGGGTTATACAGGTTACGACAGGATTTTTGTGGTCCATAGTGCATGTCTGTGAAGTGTGTCTTTTTTCCCCCCTTTCCCCTCTCTTCGGAAGTTTCCAGAGGATGTCAATGGGCGGGTTTACCTGTCCCAAGATTATTCCCATTGATTAGCTGCTTTGTGAAGTGATTAGAACTCTTCCCCCTCCCATCTCGTTTTGATGGAATGTATTACAGGAAGGCAGGAACGTAGGTGACAAGGAATTATGTGCAACTTCATAACAGCCTAAGAGTTTGTAGAATGTTTGCCTGCCCTGTGTGGATGAAAAGCTAGAACACATCACCAAAAAAAAAAAAAAAGAAAAAAAAATTTTTTTTAATAGTTTGTGTCCTGATAGTGGGGAAAATAAAAGACTTTAAATCTCCAGATAAATTTGACCCAATACAAGTATGTATAAATAATTAGACTAAAACTGAGTGACCTTTTTTGAAATGTTTTATTATGTATTTTTTGCTATCAGTCAAGATGGAAACATTGAATAATTTGCAAAAACTATGTGTATTTTGTGTTGCAGAGCTCAGCTCAGTGCATGTATTGTCAGATAAGCCCCTGCATGAATCATAGGAATGAGTTTGCATATTACAGGTTGTAAAGGTTGATCATCATAAATGTGGGGCCGGGAATGAGTTTATCCTCTCTGCTTCAACGGAAAAATACTTTAAGATTCAGAAGTCCGGTCTAAATGGTTGCCATAACTTCCATCTCATGCAGGACACTGTTGAGCCCTACTGGGAATAGAGAGAGAAAATGAAAAGCTCTCCCACAATCTCTTTAGATCTGCGTGCAGTGAAATGTGAAGAAACCCGTGAACAAGTTTTAACGTATTAAGCATTAATTCCAAGTAATCTGAAAAACATCATTGGTAGTGTTAACAAAACATTTCCTAGATTTTAATTAAAAATCCAGAGAGTATATTTATGGTAACTTTAAATAGGATTTCAATTTTATAACAGCATTCTTCATTAATCTTGTAAATGTACGCAGCTACTCAGGAATACATGCCTGTATTGGTTGTTTTCTAATTCAAATGATATTCCTAAAGCCATATTACTCACTTTGCATCTTGTCAAATAAACCACTGCATTTATATAGCAGATGATTTATGATGAGTTTATCATGACTGGTTTCTGTACAAGTCTGAGGTGGTTTCCCAGCTCTCCATTAGAGTCTGTGAGATTAGAGTAAAGATCACATCATCAGTAGCACAAAAATGCAGACAAACATACACAGTGATATACACCTTCCCGTAGACTAGGCAGGTCCACGATGATGTTAGGCACTTGCTGAGTCCTAATAAGTTGTAAAGGAGGAAAAAATATGCCAGGACTTTGTTTCCCCTCGTCATCAGGTCTGCCCTGTGGTCCTCGTGGACTGCAGTTCCTGGGAGTGCGACCAAGCTCCGAGCGAGGCAACTAGCAGAATGCTTGTGCCTGCGCTGCTGCAGGCTCTGCGTCAGCTACTCTGCCTGTAGTGTCAGGGCTGCCTAATAGAAAGGTACCGCACACAGGTCAACAGAGCAGAACGAGTCCGTAGAGCAGACTTGAGCTACAAAGCTGCTTCAGTCCCCTCAAGGCATCGTTATGTGTCTGCTGTGAAAGCGTTGAGTTGGATGTGGCCTGTAGAAGGAATGTCTCTGGATTCATGGCCACCCTTTTGGGAAGGAGGCTATAGTAAGTTTAGGTTCTACGTGTCAGCACTATCCCAAATAATAACTATAAAAATTCTAAGAAAGTTTTGGGTTTTTTTTTTTTTTTTGGCTTTACAGATCCGCATTTTGATCCAATAACTGGTCCTGTCCCTTTGCCACCTGCTCGTAGAGTAACTGGAGAAAACATCAAAACAAATAGGACATCTCAAGACTATGATCACCTTCCTTCCTCTTCAGGTAAGGTAGAAAACTGCTCTTGGAGAGACTTGCCGCTTAACAAAGCAAGGCATTTTCCTCCTTTATGTCCAATGAGGTCTTGGTCATTCAGGACAAAGACTGGGAATGGTAGGATGATGACAGGAAAACATCAATCTGCAAAAAAATGCTATTGTCTTCAACTTCACTGACTGCCCCACTGAGTGCTTCTGTGAGTTCCAGTGCTTGGCGGTTTTTTGAGGAAAAACAGGGATTTTTCTGCCACCTTTTAGTTTATAGGAGGTCAGAAGTCCTGCAGGGACCACATGCCTCTCAATTCCAGGATTTTTTTTTTAATTGCTCCTCAGAAAACTGTAGCTTGAATCTTCCCAATACTAGTATTTTGCCTGTCCTTTGTACTAATGATCTGAGATTCTAAGAAATTTTAAGAACATTTTTTAATAAAAAGGCAAGAACCAAAGCCAATCAAAACTCAATCTTCCATTTGTAACAGAACAGGTACAGTAGAATCGATTCTCTGGCATCAAAGTTTCACTCTTTCAGGCAATGAAAGTATTATTTAAAGGAAATCTACTGACGTTAAGTAATTAAAATATCAGTATTACCTATACCCCAAAGTACTTCTGCCAATTTATAGACAAATCTTCTGCTCCTTATAGATGTGCGTGGGATGAAGGAGCATATGGGGAAGGGAGGGGATTGTCCCACCAGCATTATTTTGCTGTGGGTAGAGAACACAAAGAGAAATAGGCAAGTGATGACATGAACCATTGAGCTGTTTATATGTATAGAGCCACTCCTGTGAAGTGCTCTGTACCTTCATGGTTTGAAGGCTTGCTCTGTAATGTACCCTCCAGAGAAGAGGGGAACTGTATACAAGTTCTTTCCTAACACATAAAGGAAATAAAGGATTTATTTCTGTAATCTTTCAGTATTATTAGTCAGTTGTGTTTAATTGCCAAAATAACAAGTGGAAAAATGACATCCTTTTTAATGATAATGATAAATCTCTCCCACAGTAATCCACTACTCCACTAAGGGGTATAAGAAAGAAAGAATGTCTTTTTCAGCTTGAAGTGCAGGAGAGATTAAATAGGCCTGAAATGCTCTGTGGAATCTTTAATCATTGCGACAGCCGAGTCTGTGTGATACCTTTGGTAAAAGGTAACACACCTCTGTTAAAGTTACGTTGTTGCTCATTATTTTCTACTGTTTGAAAAAAAAACTTGTTTTATAGCACATTTTTAATGTGATACTGGAAAGGATGTGTTTGTCTTGGAATGTTATCCTGACCTATTTAAGGAGTTTTAAATGCCTTTGTAATACAAATTATGAGAATTGTATGAGCACCCTTTAAAACTAAGGTGCTTTCCCTCAATTCTGTGGTAGAGCATTTATAGAATTTTCCTGAATGTTTGCTAATTTTCCAAGATGTTTGCTATTTAAGAGCTTTTAGAGATTGTTTCATCTTTATAGCTGTATGTGTCAACCTTTGCCATAAATATTGTGCTAAATTAGCATGATATACTGCAATATCTTCGATTTAATTTCAATTAAATGAAAACTGTGTGGTAGATCATGCCGTACTATTAATTGAAACATTGTTTTTATGGCAGCAGTAGTTCTGTAGGCTGGAACTGATGCGCTTTAGGATGAGCTGATAGACTTTACTGTATGGATTGAACAATGTACAGAGCATAACTCTACTCAGAACTCTTTTATTTTTTAATCAGAATTAATCAGTTCACTTAGGAAATAAGTCTTCATTCCAGCCCTTTAATATGCTTCTTCATTGAACTAGCTGGAGAGGCACTGTAGTCAACTATAAAACCTAATGATAATTTAGACTTTGTTTCCCTCGAGTAGCATGGGAAATTCCTTGGCCCCTCTTTTCTGTTTTGTCTCTTTAGAAGTTTGGAACACCTGCCTTACTGTTGTGATGCTTAACCGGACTCTTAGCAGGTCTTGGCAAATTAATTGTAATGTAGCAAGCATTTAGTGTAGAAAAGTTAGAAAAAGTTCTCAGCTATGTACCTAACTCTTACCAAGGCTTTTTTTTTCTTTCTTTTTTCAAGCATAAATACATAGTTTTAAAATTGTTTCATTAAATGGAAAGAGGGGGAAATCACTAACAGAATTAGTGTCTTTTCCAAAGCACAGCCATGACATGTGGGAAAAGGTAGGAGACAATTGGGTCTCTTACTGTCAATGCACGCTCTGCCTTCCTGAGTTCCGCCGTTCCGGAAGATACGGATTCAGATGCCTAGTTCCGTGTATTTGCCTGCTGGCTCCTCGCTGATCCAGCTTATCAGTGCCTTAGCAGGCAAGCCTAAGGGGCCTGCACTGAAACGGGCTTTCCAGGCACAGGCAGTGAGGGCGAATCTCGATTTCCCTCATCTGCCTTAGAAACGCCACGTGGGACAGAAGAGCCGCCAGTAGCTCCACGAGCTCCTCTTCCTGCTTGCTGCTGCTCCCTCAGTGCCTTAGTACAGGTGTCCCCTAGGAAAGCTTGGCCTCCCTAGCCCAGGTGGGCGCAGCCGGCGCCTCTCAGGACGTCAGTGCAAGAGCACGGGGCGCCCTGGAGAAGCAGCCAGGCAAGAGAGAGATTGGCTTGTTGGCCTCACCGCGCGCAATCTGCTGCTGCTGTGGCGCAGAGCTCCTGCGCTTCCCCTGGGAGGCTTCCCACACATTAAAGGCCTGTCGCTGCCTTTGCGCGAATCAGTTTCCTGAGTGACGGAGGAAGCTTCCTCTTGCTGTGGAAGCTGGTAAATGAATTAGACAATTAGCAAATCTGCTTGAATTCTTACTTAGGCATTCGTGGGGGCTGACACATCAGAGAGAATGGGGGCTGGCAAAGAAAGTCCTGCTCCAATACCTCTATCTCTGTGTCCAAATGGATGTGCAGCTTAGGCTTAGTATCTGTAAGCTCAGGATCCAGTGGGATACCCACTTTCAGCTAAAATTTTATATGGATCTGAAGATACTGAAAAGATGTCAGCATTTAAAAATAATCATTCCTCTCTAGTAGTCAATTTTGAGTTGTCTAAAATAAGTGAAATTAGATACGTGAACTTGCTTCTGGTTTGGGTTAGTTTTTAATTATTAATGGCCTTTCCGGAGCTATGGTTTATTTCTTAGTCCAGTATGTTTCACACAGCTTTCATAGCTTCACAGTTGGTTCCGATGCTGCTTGAATTGTGTTTACTAGAATGTTTAGCGTTTTTGTAATGCTTTTCATCTTCAGAAGCTTTTACAAATATGAGATAGTCCTTACTTCTCTGCAGGTCGTCTCGTAACTATATTGCACAGAAAATAGGCAATGAAATCAAACAAAATTAACCTCAGCCCTTAAATGTAAATTCTTAATCAAATTCTCTTATTCATTTGTTACATGAATACAACCATCTTTCCAAAAGTGCTGTTTGCTCATCCTCTCTGTATTAAAGAAATTGAATTAAATTTATAACAACATTCTCATCTGAATGCATAGCAACCAGGTTGGGGGAAAAATGAACTTTGAGGAGACATGCAATGATGTGCTCTCTTTTTATTCATCTTAAGTGTTTAATGTACTCTGTTGGATTACAGTCTGAATGTTCTCTCTATGCAGTATTAGGATAAGCAGCAAATTTTAACAGTAATAATAGAAATACGACATTTTTGCATCACTCTGCCAGATGCCATTGTGGACAGCAAGCATCCCAGCCAGAAATTCCATAATTTATCTATCAATGCCACTATTTGTGAGTGGAACTTTTCAGACTCTTTTTGAAGGATTAAAGATTCTTCAAAGAATACTTTGCTCTTAAAAATGTTTTCCTCTGTATGCCAGCTTGTTTTTAAGCTTCTTATGGTGGAATCAATGCGGATAAAGAGGTTTCCGGAAAGTACCAAGTTTACTTGAGCCCTGACCTCTTGACTTGGAGGAGATTAGTGGGTCGGAGTGTTAGGTCTTTGCATGAGCACATGGAGATTGTCAGCATCAGTCTTAACTATGAAGGTAACATTTAGTGAGATTCCTCATCAGCACAACTTTCAGACCTCTATAATTTCCTCCAAATCCGGGCTGTTAAAGCAGGCTAGGAACACGAAGTCCACAAACTGTATAGAGTGGAAATCTTCTCAGATTCCACCCACCTTGCCTGTGTCGTCATACTTCTTTTCCTTCCAGCTTCAGATAATTCAGATTGTAACCTGTACTTGCATGTTGTTATCATATTACTTAATCTAGTATCTCACTAAATTCTTTCCATTTGGATTTTCTTGAGCATTACAGCTTCTATCAGAATTTTAAAATGAGATAAATCAGTGAATTAAGGTAATTCTTCATGTTTCTTTACAAAGTCCCTTTTTAATCTCCTTCTTGAGGCTAGCTAGCTTGAGGCTGGATCTACCTGTAATACAATTTTAAGCCAATTCATAATGATTTCTATCTCCTTTATTTGAAACAGATGGTTCACAAGCACCAGCCAGGCCCCCTAAACCACTTCCTCGGAGGACTGCACCAGAAATACACCACAGGAAAGCATACAGCTCTGACAATTCCGCAGAAAACGTGGATGCAAAAATTGCAAAACTTATGGGAGAGGGCTATTCCTTTGAAGAAGTCAAGAGGGCACTTGAAATAGCCCAGAATAACGTTGACGTGGCCCGTAGTATTTTAAGAGAGTTTGTCTGCTTTCCTCCACCGGTCTCCCCACGCCTCAACCTATAGCAGCATGAAGATTTTCTTGAAGCATGTGAATTCTCCATATACGTGTGCGGATTGGGGAGTGAGAGAAAGAAGAGACAGGGGAAGTTTTTCTCTCATCATTAATGGGAGGGTGTCTGTTTCCAGCAGTTTATCAAAGGATCATGGCTGCTCTGATCAAGACTTTATATATATGCTGAGGCTTATGTATTTTTGCTAGCCATACTTTTTTAAATCAGGGTTGAACTGACAAAATAATTTAAAGAAGTTTACTTCCCTAGAACTTTTAATCTGTGAAATGCTTTTTCTTGTTTACAAGTTGGCAAGTTACAGTTTTCTAGATGATGCCTGTATTGTGTTTCTGTTCATATTCCCTTGTACTTGTGGTCAGTTCTGCTGTAGCATTCACAACAATTTCCATGCTGACCACCTCATCAACTAAATCATCACTTTCTAGAAGCTCTGTATTTGTTTCGTTCTCTTACAAGATGCTTTAATTGTTTTTGCATTTTGGCTCATCAAACAAATGCAAAAAGTATGTGGCCTTCACTACTGATATTTTTATTTTCTTCTGAGATTCCTTTACTCTTAAGAGAGGAAAAATCTGAATGTAAAATGCATTATTGTGTCTACAGACTTGCTCTTTAAAGATACTCTGACAGTAATGTTGGGCAGCTTTCTGTTTAACATGAATATCTTGACCTGTAATCCTCAAGGTCTTTTATCCACAGTTTCCACAATGACGAACAAACAAGAAATCCCAACCTACAAATAAAACAGTTCATGCAACTGTGATACGATGTCATGTTGTGTAAAGACTCTTTAAAATTGGATTCTTTGATTGCAAGTGTTCAAAAATGCCAAATGCACATGATAATACTGAGTTCCTGTTACATACCAAGGGCACTAGCTCTCCATGCCTTATATGTTCTGAGGCGTGCCACAAGGAATGTTTTTGAATCCTTCTAAGGATATTCAGGTAAATTCCAGCTGCAGTTTATACAAAGAGGAATTTGGTTATTTTTTGTTTCAGTGATTATCCTGTGGTTCATCGTGGCTTGGATCAGTTTGTATTAACATGGAAACTTTAAATCTTTGATGCACTGTTAAGTCCTAATGCTACTGTAGCAATATTTTTTTGCAAAGCTCTTCAGTAATCTCCTCTGTACACATTATTATGCTTGAGTATGTGTTTAATACCCAAATTCACTCATTCACTTTCCAGATGACTAGTTGGAAATATATGTCTTTGCTGTAGATGGCTAGTGAGGCTCTGAGGTTTTATTTTAAAGCCCACATTAATGCAAGCCAAATTTCTTTTTCTAATTTTAAGTCTGTTTTTAGTACACTCGAGAGTTGAGTCCAAATATTTCCAGAATAAATCTTATTATTGCTGCTTTCCTATTTTTACAGGAAACTTGGAAATCACCTTTTCCTTTATTACTCTTCAAAATGTAAGCCAGGTGGTAGATGGAACACTTTCCACATTTTGAAATGTGACCAGTATCTGAGAACTTTTACACTGTGCAGAACTGGGTATATATTTATTGCTCCCCTTCAACTGTCAGTTTTCTCCTTCATTTGTAACAAGTGCTTAAAGTTAACACCACTTTCAGGGTAAGATCTCAGCAGCCAATGCATTTGTCTTAAACATCTGAAAAACAGCAAGTATCTAAAGTACAATACTTGAAGTAACAGAGAACACCCAGTGGAAATTGCTGTGTATCACAAAGCCCATCACTTCGCCAGAGAGCTTATTCTTAAAAAATACATAAATTATTTTGCAGTAATGCAAACCATAATGTGTTTAGCATTAATCAGCTTTGGCCAGTAATGAAAGATGATTAGGCAAATTCAGACTATAAGAGTTTCTGTCCTAAGCAAATGATTCTGAGTTTATTCTACAACAGGGCATTTGTAACTTCTTTTAAATGTTCATTCAATGAATGCAACTTAGAAAAAGTTTTAAGTTATTTTTTGTGCTCTTAGATTGAGTAACGTTTTCTGTTTCAAGGGCAAATATTATGCTGTCTTGAGCTTTTTTGTTTTTTATTTGGTTTGTTTACTGCATCATCCCGATAACACTCTAGCATTTAGCTAACTAAATTTAGAATGATGCATGTTAAACACTGAGGTTGTACTAGAATTACTGAAGTGTGGTTCTAGCATAGCTGGCAGAATAGCAGGGATAGTTTTTTTAAAAAAAAAAGATACTATAGAAGGATGAGTGAACCGTCTGCAGACTGTTTTGAAATTTTGTATTTCAACGGATAACGCTGCCATATTGTCTCTCATTTGCTCAATTTTATGCTGCAACTTAGTGTAAATGACACCTTTATATTTCAGTTAGAAGTTGGAATTGTTGCCTGATAAGAGAAATTCAAACGACAGAGGATAAGGATTTAAATTGTTTGCCCCCCCCGCCCCATATCCACTTATATCATTCTTGGTAACTTTAAAAGTTGCAGTAATCTTCATACGAGTGTAATCACACTTTTAAATAGTGGAATGTGAAGGCTATTTCCAACATGTCTGGATTAATACATTTAAAATCCAATAGAGTGAAATTGCTTTGCTAGACTGTTGATGTTTACTATGCAGGCCTAAAATGGGCTTAAAAGAAATTAATCTGGCCACAGTCTATTTCTCTGAAAAATATTTTAACCTTCTAAAGACTGAAGATTTGAACCTGGCAATGTGTTATGTACATATATAACTTTAAGCAAGACTGACTTTATTTGAGATTTCGTGGATGAACCAAGTAGATTGAACTCAGAAGCACAGTTGCTGTCATGATGAAGGCTACACGCGTATTTCCTCCAATTAAATGTCATTATAGGCTTTAGACCGTCATTCTGATGTGTGTGGGCCTCACCTTTTATCTCGCCTTGGTGAAATTACTGCATTTTAAGCAAATTGACTGAATCACAAGTTGAGCAAAATAAGTGAACATCAGCAGGATGGATCCTTTCCAAAGACTCTAAGTAGAGAAGAGAAGAAAAAAAAAGTGCTAAAATAAGTGAATTGAATATGATTAGCCATGTTAATGGCTTGGCTGGAACCCTAAGATGGCCACTGGTAAAATTTATTAATGTTTCATATCTGAACAGTGCATCTGGCATGGACTTTTTTCATAATGTGAATTTAGGAATTTCTGTACCAGGATTTTTTTTTTTTTTGAGTTGCATTTCTCAAATTTTTAGCTTGAAGCTTTACTTTGCACTGACCTGAAAGCATTTAAATTTGTGTCTTAAAGCTTGACAAATTTGGAAACATATAAACAGAGTATTTTAAGCAGATTCAGGTACTGCCTGTTGACCTGGAATTTAGTGCTTTAGGACTGACTTCTTGAAAAAGGACTTCAGTAGTTTCCATTTTTGAAGGATTTTCTTCCAAATAACTATTTTATCTGAAAATGCCTTTTATAAACTTGTCTAACATGTGGCAGACTTAGTGATGTGTTCAATTAATTTATATTTTATTCCACATTCTTTTTCAATTCTGGTAATTATGTAAGCTCAAGTTCTTTATCTGTTCTTGTAAGGTATTTTATAAAATTAATGTTAACAGAATGTTGGGTTGGTCTGTGATTTTTCAAGCTTCTCTCACGCTCTCTGTTACGGACTGCAGTCGCTTCTCATATAGAAACAGAGCCTACCGTGTGCAAAAGCTGGAGATTGTCTTGTAAAAGGAGAAAATGAGACCGTGCAGTAAAATAAGGTGAACCACTGCATTTAGAAATCCTCTATATCCTCAACTATTTTTTCACTTTCTAAATTCCAGTAATAAAAACTTAAAAATTAACAGTAACTTCAGAATGCACAAATAGCAGTTGTACAGCAGAAAGATAGTAATCACTATTTAGAATCCAAAGTGAATGAACTGTATGTCCAAATGCAGATTAATTTACAAATAGTTGATGATCAGAGTTGCAGGAATGTGGCTTTAAAACTTGCGTGCTTGCATTCTCAAGCATTGCAGACCAAATAATGTGTATTTTAGGGTTGAAAAACATTTTTTTCTTCCCTTACATTCCAATATTTAGAAAATGTTCAGAAAAGCTAGGCCCACCATTTTGCAAGGCCATGTAACTCTTACTGTTTAAAAGCCACCATCATTTCCTACAGGTAGGCTCAGACTCTGGTGGGTGAGATTTTGACGGTACCTTCTGCAGTCCTTGTTTAAACCCTTGTCCATTTTATGGCTCCCTAGGATGTTACCGAGTACAGACATTAATTGTTTTGCATACATATATTTATCATCTGATTGCCTCTTCATTTTTCCCCTCTGTTGTGGAAGTTGGCTGTGACTTGATTGTGTCACAGATTTTGTCAGCCAGCTGCTCCTGGAATGTTTCACGAAGGTTAGGTTGATAAATCTAGTCATCTGATTCTGACCAAGGTAGCTGCCTCCGCTAATCACTCGCAATACATCTCCATCTGGAGAATTATAATTTTACATAATAATGTACACTGTGTGTTAGCTTGGTACTACCAGGGAGAATTCTAGTTCCAAATAAATCTTAAATCCCAAGTCCCTTAATCTTAAATGTCAAATCTTCAATTACTAAAACTTCAAAGTAAAGCTGCCCACATCTGTCTTGATGCATGTAAGAGCCAGCCCATACTTGTTTGAAAAGAAAGAAAAACATCAGCTTCTTTTTTTTCACTGCAGTAACCACCACGATAGGTGGCAAGATGGGAGAGGGACAGATAACCATGTAGAAAAAGATAATTCTCTCCTAACAACCCAAGCCCCTCTCTCCTGTGGGCATAGGAGATTTAGCTGTTCCAGTGCTCTGATGTTTCCAAATGCTTGGCTGTAATCTGTTTTGATGTACCTGAACATCTATTTCAAATGAAACAGTATTTGGCAGGATTACACCACTCTTGGATTAAAATGGGTCCTCCTCCAAGAACTTCTTTTAAAGACAAGTCATTACATGACAGGATGCCAGGCCCTTGGCCTCAAAGGGAAGTGTGAGATAACCCTCTGTTCAAAATGTTTTTCTGATGCTAACAAAATGACCAAATGCTGGTTGTGAAGCTCATGTTCTTGAAGGGTTATATGCACATGCTAATCTGCTGAAGCGCAGAGGAGGGACTGTGCCAACTTAGGGAGTTTAGAACTAGGCCATACATTTGCCTTTGGAAAACATCTATCCATTCTGGATCGCCAAACTGCGTGTGCCCGGTGACTACAGTCATCTGTGTTAACTCCAAAGGCCAGGATTTCTCTCTAGAGAGCTGGGGAGGGAGGTGTATGTGCCTACCCCAAAAGAGTTTCTTTTTGTTTTTTTTTTTTTTTTTCCTATTCCTCTGTATAATCATGGGTACTGAAGAGAAAGACACTGTAAAAAATAAACATTCCCTAATAATGTTGGTCTCCATAAGGCCACAATACAATAGGTGGACTAAGGAGAGCTCACTTTTTTTTTTCTCTCTCTAAATACATAATTTACTGAATGAATGTCACTGAATGTCAAAACATGTACAAAGGTAAGTAAGTCTACATCATCAGCTCTTCAGCAATACCTTGAGCTAGCAGCTGGCATGGTT